TGCCGCTTAAAGACACTCCATCAATTAACCCTGTCCATGGTAAATGTGTAGTGTCACTTTCATCTGATGCACAAACATACACAGAATCGCACACACTTTCTATTTGAAGACTTCAGCAAGTGTTCATGGGGATGAGCTGTTTTGGGCCACTATCCCTATTTAGCTAGGTTGAGTATTATGAATTCTGATTCTCTACTCTTGCAGAAAGCCTCAGAAAATCTTCTGGTGCTGAGACCACCAGGGGCCAGGAGGTCATGCGTGGCTGTGTCCTGCTTAGGAATGTCCCAGAGACGGTGGATGAGCTGCTGATGGACAGCAGGGCTGGACTTAGCAGGGCAATTCTGAAATCTGGGCCAAATTACCAAGGTTAAAATGCTACATGATTTTGCAGAAAAAAATATTCAGGAGAGTTCACAAAATGTGAGAAATGCTAGGTGTTATTTACCACTGACAAGTTTCAAATGATACCAATAAAGTGTCTTTGTTATAAACAATATGAGGCTGTTTTTCCTCTGTACGAATTTTAGAAAGGGGACACTGCCCTATAAATCACATCGTTAGCATATTTCAAGGAACCCCGGAAGCAATTTTGGAAAAAAAAAAAAAAAGTCTTAGAGCTGTGTAAATCACCCTTAGTTTTAAAATGTGGAAGAAAGCAAACCCAGTGCTGTGTTTGGCCTTTCCCATGAATTATTTTCCAAAAAAGCAATTTAAGTAAATACCCTGGATGCGGCAGTATACAAATACTTTCCAGTGTATACACAAGAGTCTGCACTTTCCATCATACCTGATTTTCAAAAATATCTGAAGGGTAGAAAAAAATTACAATACCTAGTTTAAATTAGGTGGAGTAATAAATCTGTATGTAGCCTAACTACACTGGTTTCACCCCTAGAAACAACTCAGCTGCAATCAAACTGCAATTTGCGATCAGCAGACCATTCCTGGCGACTGTAAGCAACGGTGGGAATTTAGCCTCTCCTGCGCAGAATTCCAGGGGGAACTTTTGGGAAATAAGTGAGGGAGGAAGAGGATGGCCGGCCGAAGGTGCTGGAGGCAGGAGGATGAAAGCCCAGGATGCGATTGCCTCCTTGTGCTGACCGCTTGCCCAGAGGCTCAGCTCCTGCCCCGGCAGGGATAAACTCTTACGTTCTTTATTGAATTCCTCAGCTTTAGGGAGAGAAAAAATGTAATTTTCAGAGGCTCATGTGCCTGACCATAAGAGAAAAGAGACCATCAAACTGACTGGTTACTAGTCTTCTCCTGCAAGAACCATACAGAAATGTAGAAAATATATAAAATTTATATTAACCATGACAAGCAAACTACCGTACATTAATTAAGTAGTACATCAATTATTAAACTATGTAATTTAAAGTGAGTCTCTTTTCTCTTATGATCAAGCACATGATCATCTCAAAATTGTATTTTGTTCTCTACCTAAACCTGAGGCGTTCAATAAAGAACGTAAGAGTTTATCTCTGCTGGGGCAGGAGCCGAGCCCCCCCAAAACAGGGGCGATTTCTTCTCTGCCTTCCATGCGGCATCCAAGCGCCCAGGGCCAAACGCCTGAAGCTCTTGGGCTCTTTAGAGGCTGCCAGGAGACTGACTTCTGGCAAGAGGGGATTGAAGGCCTTGGGAAGGAGGAAGCCTTCTCACCTGCTGGCCAGGTGCCGCCCCTCCTTGGTTCTCCCCTAGCGGCTAGCTTCAAAAGGCGCACCATCCCTCAGTTAGGAAAATGCAAAAATAAGCTAAACACAAAACTAAAAGCTATTTACCACCTTTTCTTTAAACAAAAAGAAAGACCAAAAAAAAATGGATTCAGCAAGTTCGCCTTAGAAATATTGCTATAGAAATATTGATTTTTTTACTCAACTCAATTGACTGAAAAGTTGTTTGTTTAGCAATATTGGCCCAAGCAATCCACTGGAACAATTTTGCTGCACAGAGTAATCAAGTGCATTTCTAAAGTATAATTATATTGTCATAAAAACGAAGCCAAGATAACCTTCTCTTTGAGCAATAAACCTACAGAGGCAGTAAACCCTTACACACACACACACATACACTCCATGATAGGGTGTCATCCAAGGAGCCCAGCCCCCTCCCCACACTTGCTGCACTTCCCTTAAGCTATGGTTAGCATGAAAGTGATCAATATCTCAATCTCCATAAACTATTTCAATAATAGTTAGTTCACCTGGAAACAGAAGCTGAATGTTTCTGCTCAGCGACCTGAGACTGCCTCCTTGTTTGCTGAACGTGGGTAATATTTCATTGCCATAATGGATGTGACTCAGTGCAGGGTTAGGAGGAGGCAGACAAACACACATTCTTCAGTTACAAATCAATACACGCTGCACACCTTTCAAAAAAAAAAAAAAAGCCCAGATGTGGGATGCTGGTGGTCAAAAAAATACAAAATGTGTCATCAGGAGCAGTTATAATTAATTTATTTGACAAAACAATCATCGGTTCCCTCCAGTGAAGGACCACAGCTGCGGCGGCTGCTGACCAAAACTGAGCTACCTGTGCGCAGAGCTTCCATTGGGCTTTGCCTGCAACAGAGAGGGTTTCTCCTCAGTGTGCCCTGAACGTAGCAAGAGGGCAATTGTTTCCAATTATTTGCATTACATGTGCGGTGAGGGGGACAATAAAAATGACAAGAGGAGCCCATCAATGCATCCTGGAAGCTGGAGGGTCAGCTCATGACTTCTGACCAGTTAGCCAAAGCTACCCCTAAGAGCCGGGACTTGTTTTGCTTTCTCGGCCCGAAATGTGGGTGTGCACCTACACACCCACATTAACTCACATGCCTGATCTAAGGGTTCCAAATTTGTACCACCTTGAGGTTGCCATGCCAGTGGAGGCTTACAAAAACAGGATAATTTCATGAAAAATGTGATGGCCAACATAAACCAATGAAAGTGTTTTTCTTTTCAAATTATAAAAGAAAAGAAAACGATCCAAAGCTGCTTTTTCAAAAGGCAACTGGACTTCCTTTGTTTTTCCTTGTTTCTCACCCAAGAAGTTTCTTCAGTTCAATTTTTCTTCAAGGAAAAACAAAGAAAGTCTAGTCACCTTTTGAAAAAGCACCCTTGGGACAACCATGGCCTGGATGACCGAGAATTTCAACAGACAAAAAGAAAATGACACAATCTTAAAAAGTGTCTTGTGTGCTGAAACCATCTGTCTCTGGATGAAATCTTGATCACCGTTCCCCCAAGTTCGTTTCTGAGGGAATTTTATTTCACCCAGTTATGAGGCCACTGCTGTACATATGTTCCACATCCTACTGCAGTCTTCTAAGGATCTGTGTCATGCCCCTAATTCCTCTCTGGAAAGTTTCTCCTACCTGCCAATGGACTTGCACTGTGACGGGTCAAGCCAAGGACAAGAGGGCAAATGCCTTTGGAGGGAGTAGATCTAGCAGTTTCAATCGAAAAACTGGAAATCTAGACCCTTAGTGACTAACCGGAGAAATGTCCTGTTGGAATGAGACAGCTCTCGAAAAGAACAATAGTGTGTAGTTATATGAAGTTTATCAACCGCTTTTAGCATCTAATCGGAAGAAAGGCAGCATCTTACATTCCATTGCCAAAGCTGAATCAGATAATCCATAACAACTTCATTAAGAACAAACTTCCCAGGATATTAATTTACTTGCATAAATGGCAGGATTCTCAAAAGGCTGCTGCAATTCCCATAATGGCAAAGGAAGCTCATGCAGATCCACCACAATTAGTCTTTGTCATCTAATTCCAAGGAAGCTGTCGATACAGCGGAACGTTGCCTGGCTTTGCTAATGGCCCAGACGAAGGTGAACAAGCTGAAATTAAATCTGGACAAGACAAAGGGGCTGTTTCTTGATCAATGAGAAATCAGGATCAGATACCGGGATTCTACCTCAGCTTGAAGGAGGTCCTAAGGTTTGCAGCTTGTGAATGTTCTTTGATCCTGCACAGTTCCTAGCTTCCACAGGGCAGTTGTGGCAGGCAGCATAATCGCACATTATGGTTCATATATCACCTGTGAGTCTTCATGAGTCAATTAGCCTAACTAGGGGTTTTTATGCTTTCGTAATATCATATTAGACTACTCCAATGTGCTTCATCTGGGGCTGCTCTTGAAGAAACTTAAAGGAGGATGTTTGCAAAGCTTGTGTAACGTCCACAAAACAGAAATGGCTTACGAGTTAATAAGTGTCAGTCCTATGTGGCTGAAAGGAGCCCAAGCGACCCACTGCATGAGGGCGGGGTGCCTAATAATGTAATGTTGGACTAAACCAACTATTCATCTACCTCAAAAATCTGTCTACCAATAAAAACCAAGAGAAAAGCTACAATTACGCTATCATGTTGGCATGCACTCTTAAGCACAAATTGTGGTGTATCAAAACAGCATTGTCTTTTTCTGGTATCAGATACAGAATTATTCTCCATGTTTGCACATAATCTTTGCTAATAGCCATTACAATTATTTCTGGCAAAGTAGTCCACAGATGGATTGCGTCTTACATGGCTATTATTGTATTTTCCATACAGTATTGTCATTTAGAAAGTATTTTTACCTTCTGAAAATATTGATCATTGCAATCTTTGCTGGTTGCAAGAGAGCCTGTAACCCTGTTATAAATTTTGGTCTAAATATATACAAAAATCCTAGAAAAAGGGTATTTCATCTTCATTTAAAATAAAAAGTTTTATCAGTTTGGAAACAGCAATTTTAGTCCACAATGGCAACTTTTCTTGATCCTTCACTAAGATTTATTTAAGATTCAGGTACTCTCAACCAAAAAGATGTATGAAAATCTACTTTTCTAGACATGATTTAGTTATGGAGGCAGCTCCAGCAAACATTAAAAATCATCAGCTTTTCATAGGGGGGGGGGGAAAGGCCAGCCCCCTTGTGACATAATTTTGGAGAAAGGAAAATCTCTCTCTCTGCCTTTCCTTTTCCCCAAAGTTGGAATGAGGGGGAAGGGGGAGAGGGAAACTCACTTATAAACGGTGCCTCCATTGCCGTGGCCAAGGATGTCTCGATACCGAATGTCTTGTTCATTCATCTCCACCAGGAAGAAAGAAAAACAAAAGAGATGTCAGGCTGGGGATGCAAGTGTCAAGGAGAAGCCACTCTCAGCCATAAACAACCCGCCGTCTGGGTCATTTCAAGTTCAGCTGCAAGAACGAGGAGATCAATACAACATTTGCTGTCCAATTTATAAAAGACAATACCAGGGGACAAAGTGATGGAAAGTTTAATGACAATTTGTTTGCCTGGGTCATTTCATTAAAGTTTGATAAAAGGTGTCAAAATGGAATGATAACATAGCTCAAGAGGCGCCGGGCACCGACCTGGAGGGGAGCGGAAGGCACTGGAGCTCAGAGCATGGCCAAGGCCTGAGCCAGGAGGGGGCTGGGTAGGCCCTCCACCCGGGCGCCGACCTGCAGGCAGCCGCGAAGGACTTCCTGAAACCTGCTCTAAAGCCAGAGAAGAGCCACAACAACACCCTGCTTGAGTGGCCAGGAAGGGCGGAGGGCTGACCCACATGGCACAGGACACCCCCTTTGCAGGCAAGCGCTCAATGGGCAGTTCCGGGTGCTCTTGCTGCGCAGCACCTGCCTCTCCCAGGTGCAGAGCCCGGGGACAGATCGGCCACCAGCCCAACTACAAGAACCCAAAGGTCAGAATTAGCACCTTGAATTACGTGCAGGAGGTGATCATGGGCCAATCTGGCAATCGGGTCTCAGGCAAATATAAAGGAGCAAAGCCACGTCATGAAAAACAAAGCTATGAATTTTCCTGAGTAAGAAAAGGCTACAGTAGAAATACGATGTGAGAAATAATTCACATGCCAGAACCATGATAAAAATAATCTACTGGAAAGGCTACCTTAAAATGCCTTCACTGCAATGATTATATATCCAGGGAAATATTTTTTTCAGGTCTAAAACTTGGGCAATCTGTGATTGTTAGATGCGCAATGCCACAAAAACAGCCATTTATTTGGCATACTTAGTTTGTTGCAGTGAACTTACTGTATGGAAATTAATTAATAGATAATGGACACTCATGAATCAAAATAAATGTTCATACAATGGGGGTTATTCTTTAAAAGATTTTTCTCCTTTCATGAAAACAGGCCAAGAAGTAAAGACCAACAGCTCCGCCATCATCACTAACATTTTACAAAATATTTATTTTACAAATGACCAAAAACTAAAAAAAAGTACATTAATTGGTTTAGCCATGTAGAATGCATATTAAAAAGGGGGAAATGGAATTTTGGTTTATGCCAATGCTAATGGAAAGGCAGTAAATTATGTAGTCAGTGGTGAACGTGTCTCCAAGCTGACCATGGCTGGGTTTGACGGTCACCAGAAGTAGAAAGCTCTCATATCTCAGCAAAGCACTAGAGCTCTGTATGTTTGAAATCCGAGATTGTGAACTTGGGAATAAAGCTTCTCTCTCTTTTCTTAATTGTTTAGAGCCATTTGGGGAGATTATAATTGCCTGAAAGGCAGGTTAAAGCCGCACTAAATAAATAAGAAAACTTCATAAACCCAGCGAGAAATGTCAAGGATTCCTAGCAATTTATTTATTGTGTTTGAGAATCTGAAGGCATCAATCAAATCCTAATAACTACCAATTTTGCAGCAAGCACCAGTACATTATTTTTTCTTATGCAATCTTGATCGGCTGCTGATATTAACAGAATGAACCAAAAGTGAAATAGTATCCAATTATGGATCAGCAAATAAAATAGTCTTTGTTTATATCTGCTGTCTTGGAAAGAATCAGCAGGCATCTCTTGTAAATCATTAAAAAAAATGCTCAATTAATCCTTATTTGATATATCCGGCTACAGCAGGAGCCTCACCCTGTACGGGCTCCCCCCCTGAACCAATCAAAGTCCTAATGGCTTCAGAAAGCAGCCACGGTCCATGAACAGACAATTGAAGAGATTTAGTAAATCCCACTTCATGGAGCAGGGACTAATCGGAAAACATGAGCCAGTCCAATGTTTCTTATGAACTGTTGACACTACGTCAATGCTCAATCAATTGGCGGCATTTTCTCTGAGTGACAGAAAAGAAATAAATATGTATACCGCATAACCTATGTCAATGAACCTCGGCAGAAAGCTATTTCTAGCCTGTCAATATTTGATTATCTTGAAGAATCATGTCCCCTTTCTGTTAATGATTGATATGAATTCCTTATTAAACCTAAGTGGAGGCTTTCGGGCAACTAAAGTCTTCATTAATGCTTCAAAGCAGAAGGCAGGAGGCCGCTCTCTCGTAGACAATGTTTCTCTACCTTGGCAATTTTCAGGTGGGTGGACTTCAACTCCCAGCATGGCTGGCTGGGGAATTCTGGGAGCTGAAGTCCACACATCTGAAAATAAGCACAGCAGAGAAACACTGCTCTTAGGGCACCTCACAATTTAACCCTCTCCTCCACTGGTCCGCCTATGTTAGGTAGGTTCTCACCAACATCAGTGGAGCAAGATGGGACCAGCCTGGATCAGGTCCAATTGCGTACATCCCTCATAATTCAAAGCCAAGTTCATTCCTGGCACTAGATAGATAGATAGATAGATAGATAGATAGATAGATAGATAGATAGATAGATAGGTAGGTAGGTAGGTAGGTAGGTAGGTAGGTAGGTAGGTAGGTAGGTAGGTAGGTGGATGGATGGATGATGGAGAGGATAGATAGATAGATAGATAGATAGATAGATAGATAGATAGATAGATAGGTAGGTAGGTAGGTAGGTAGGTAGGTAGGTAGGTAGGTGGATGGATGGATGATGGAGAGGATAGATAGATAGATAGATAGATAGATAGATAGATAGATAGATAGATAGATAGATAGATAGATAGATAGGATGGATGGATAAATAGACAGACAGACAGAGACAGAAAGATCGATAGATCGATCCCTGGTACCAGTCCTCTCAATGGGGACGGGGGAGGTGTGGACACCAGCCCCTCTCGGCCTTCTGCTTTCAGCCGGAGCTCTGCTCCCGGGGGCTCCTTGGACAAGACCACGGGGCTCCCTCCCAGCGCTTCTTCTGCCAGAGGGCAGCCTGCCTTCCCAATCTGGGCTCCAACCTGGGGGTTCCCAGAGATCCTTAGGGATCACCATTCACCCAAATGACTGGGAGCCTCAGAAACACACCCCGGAAAGCTTTCAGAGCGGCTACGGAGAGTACTCGATCTACAACACTTTGCTTAGTGACCGTTCGAAGTTACAAGAGCAATGAAAAAAGGGACTTATGACTGTTTCACGCTTATGACCATTATAGCATTCCTATGGTCACGTGATCAAAATTCAGATACTTGGCAACTGATTCATATTTATGACGGTGGCATTATCCTGGGTTCACGTGATCCCGTTTTGCGACCTTCTGACAAGCAAAGTCAATGGGAGAAGCCAGAGTCACTTAACAACTATGGCAAGACAGGTTGTATAATGGGTAAAACTCACTTAAGAAATGTCTCATTTAGCAACAGAAATTTTGAGCTAAATTGTGGTCATAAATCAAGGACTACCTGTACTTAATGCATTTTTTAAATTAAAAAGCCAGCTCTTTGTTCATTTTTTTAGGCCAAGCATTCAGTAACACGAAAAGAATGGGACTTGAAGCCCTGCACAATTTGAAAATTAAATCCATCTCCCATCTTCAGTAAATCTTCAGTACAATTCAGTCATAATAGGCATCCCAAACCCTCCTCCAAAAAGCATTTTCCTTCCTAGCTAAAAACCTCCTTACCTCACTTAAGGATACTGAAAACCCATCATTTTTCAAGATGAGGCTTTCAAAAAAGATCTAATAATAGTTCATTCCCTTCTCTGCCCTTGAAATATTACCTTTATTACAGACAAGCAGCTGTTGAAGATTAAATAAAATGCAGGGAACAAAAAAAAAGCAGCAGCACAAAGGGTTTAAGCCTATTCTGTGTCTATCTTTCAGGTAAGACTATGCTTAAAAAAGAAGAGCCAAAATCCATATTCTTAAGTTTTATTTAAATGCTTCTGAGTGCAAATAAGTAAGCCTGAAGTGGAGCAAGGCAGACAGGACCCTCCTGATCTATTAAGAGAGCAACCTTACAGGTGATCCGCTGAAGGACACGCCTGAAGAGCAGCTTTTGTCTTCTTGACATGCTCAACTACCACTGCTTGATTCATGAAATGCCAAGGCGGCTGGGGGAGGTCACTGTGTGAAAGCACTGAATACGCATCTGAGATAATTAAGATTTCAGCCTTCGAAACTCGGAAGGGAAGTGAACAGCAGTTAAGAAAATCAATAAGAGTCTTTTATTTGCAGTGACACAGATGTCTCCGTCAATAGCGTCTAATAGGCAGGCTTGATCGGCGTGGACAGGGGCTGCCTCCAAGGCTATCAAAGGGTTTCACCATGACAAACATTAAAACTTCTTTATGTGGCTAGTGAAGAATCCCTCAGCCTTGAGGTATTTTTATTTTGTGGGTATATTTAAAGCCACGATGCGACTTTGGGACTTCCTGTTTGAATCAAAGTGGCCAGGCCTTCCCGGCAGACGTGGGAGCAGTTTTTAGGATGTTCCTCTTCTGCAGAGCTCCAAGGGACGCTCCCCTCCAGTGACCCTTTTCCTACTCACTCCTGGGTGGCAGGGACGTCAGAGCCCATCTGCAAACAGCTAGCAAAGCAGAAACCCTGTTTTGCTATTCAAAATTGATTACGTTTTCTCCCCTAAATTGAGGCAACCGAGTGGCGGGTGTGAAAGGCACTTCAATCTATTTGGAGCTAAATCTGATTAGTGCATTTTGAAAAAGGGGAAGTAAATTGGCGTGCCAATCCAAATCAATCAGGACAGGGGCTCCTCCACCACACAAGCTCTGTGCCTGCCTTCGCCTCTACTTTATTAAAAGAACACATTACCAGTAAGTGAGCAGTAAACATCTCTCGGGTGATTTGAGCACACAAGGCATGTCTGAATTCAGGCAGGCGTCTATCGCACCTGCAGCCAGCCCCACACCAATATACCTACCTGGCCATTTGCTAATATTTTCTTCAGCTCAGCAGAGGACTTCTTCAAACTGCAGCATTGGGCAGAACAAAGGTAAAAAGAGAAAGAAATAAGAAAAAGAAAGCTGTCTTAAGTCATTGTCCATCTGCACTTTAGGGAGTGGAGCTACAACTTGTCCTTTGCTAAAGAGCATCTCATTGCTAATTGGAACATTTGCCTACGATTACAAGTGTGTAAACTACGCACTGATATAATCAGAATTAAGTATGTAAAGCACACATATTTTGTTTCATTTATAATCTCCTTAAAATTCTGATAGTGACAAATGAATTTCCTTGGGGAAGTTAATGATTTACCAAGAAAATCAAAAAGAACCTGGGAATGTTGCAGACAGTTCAAAGGTCGAGGTCCTCATGTAGAATAACAGAATTGGAAGGGACCTTGGAGGTCTTCTTGTCCAACCTCCTGCTCAAGCGGAAGACCCTATACCTTTTCAGACAAATGGCTGCCCAGTCTCTTTTTAAAAGCCTCCAGTGATGGAGCACCCATAACTTCTGGAGGCAAATTGTTCCACTGGTTAATTGTTCTCACTATTAGTAAATTTCTCCTTAGTTATAAATTGCTTCTCTCCTTGATTAATTTCCATTCATTGTTTCTTGTCTTGCCTTTTGGTGCTTAGGAGAATTGATTGATCCTTCTTCTTCTTTGTGGCAGCCCCTCCAATATTGGAACACTGCTACCATTTCACCCCTAACCCTTCTTTTCACTAAACCAGACATGGCCAATTCCTGCAACCGTTCCTCCTATGTTTCAGCTTTCAGTCCCCTAATCAACTTTGTTGTTCTTCTCTACACCTCTTTCTAGAGCAGCGGTGGCGAAACTACGGCACGCGTGCCAGAGGCAGCACTCAGAACCCTCTCTGTGGGCACACATGCCGTTGACCCAGCAGAGTTCACCGTTTGGAAGCGACAGGGCAGGAAGTGAGCAAGCAAGCACCGGTGGCCTCCCCAGGAATGCCTTTGAGATGCCAAGGGACTAGCCCTGGCCATGCTCACCCAGTCTGCTTTGACCACTGCAGGCATGCCCATCCAGTGGGCCACGCCCCCCATGTCTCCCCTGAGGGCACCACAGTGCTGATGCAGCCCTGACACTTTGCGATAAATAAGTGGGTTTTGGGTTGCAGTTTGGGCACTTGGTCTCTAAAAGGTTCGCCATCACTGGGCTAGGGTTAGTCACCATGAACTCATAGAGAAAAATGGACATCGCCAGAAAACTCGGAAGGCTTGGCTATAGTTAGGAGGGCACTGACTTTTCTAGCCTGCCCTATCTATGTTTCCTGGTAAAATACATGGGAAAATCCCATAGGAGGAAAATTCCACTTAGGGTTAGGGTTAGGTCAACATGAACTCATAGAGCAAAATGGACATCGCCAGCAAACTCAGAATGCTTGGCTATAATTAGGAGGGCACTGACTTTTCTAGCCTGCCTTATCTATTTTCCTGGTACAATAGATAGGAAAATCCCATAGGAGGAAAATTCCACTTAGGGTTTGGTTAGATCATCATGAACTCATAGAGCAAAATGGACATCGCCAACAAACTCAGAACACTTGGGTATGGTTAGGAGGGCACTGGCTTTTCTAGCCTGCCCTATCTATGTTTCCTGGTAAAATACACGGGAAAATCCCATAGGAGGAAAATTCTACTTAGGGTTAGGGTTAGGTCAACATGAACTCATAGAGCAAAATGGACATCGCCAACAAATTCAGAGTGCTTGCGTATGGTTAGGAGGGCACTGACTCTTCTAGCCTGCCCTATCTATGTTTCCTGGTAAAATACATGGGAAAATCCCATAGGAGGAAAATTCCACTTAGGGTTTGGTTAGGTCATGATGAACTCATAGAGCAAAATGGACATCGCCAACAAACTCAGAACACTTGGGTATGGTTAGGAGGGCACTGACTTTTCTAGCCTGCCCTACCTATGTTTCCTGGTAAAATACATGGGAAAATACCATAGGAGGAAAATTCCACTTAGGGATTGGTTAGGTCATCATGAACTCAATAGAGCAAAATGGACATCGCCAACAAACTCAGAACACTTGGGTATGGTTAGGAGGGCACTGACTTTTCTAGCCTGCCCTATCTATGTTTCCTGGTAAAATACATGGGAAAATCCCATAGGAGGAAAATTCCACTTAGGGTTAGGGTTAGGTCAACATGAACTCATAGAGCAAAATGGACATCGCCAACAAATTCGGACACTTGGGTATGGTTAGGAGGGCACTGACTTTTCTAGCCTGCCCTATCTATGTTTCCTGGTAAAATACATGGGAAAATCCCATAGGAGGAAAATTCCACTTAGGGTTAGGGTTAGGTCAACATGAACTCATAGAGCAAAATGGACGTCGCCAACAAATTCGGAGTGCTTGCGTATGGTTAGGAGGGCACTGACTTTTCTAGCCTGCCCTATCTATGTTTCCTGGTAAAATACATGGGAAAATCCCATAGGAGCAAAATTCCACTTAGGGTTAGGGTTAGGTCAACATGAACTCATAGAGCAAAATGGACATCGCCAACAAATTTGGAGTGCTTGCGTATGGTTAGGAGGGCACTGACTTTTCTAGCCTGCCCTATCTGTGTTTCCTGGTAAAATACATAGGAAAATCCCATAGGAGGAAAATTCCACTTAGGGATTGGTTAGGTCATCATGAACTCATAGAGCAAAATGGACATCACCAACAAACTCAGTATGGTTAAGAGGGCACTGACTTTTCTAGCCTGCCCTATCTATGTTTCCTGGTAAAATACATAGGAAAATCCCATAGGAGGAAAATTCCACTTAGGGTTAGGGTTAGGTCAACATGAACTCATAGAGCAAAATGGACGTCGCCAACAAATTCGGAGTGTTTGGGTATGGTTAGGAGGGCACTGACTTTTCTAGCCTGCCCTATCTATGTTTCCTGGTAAAATACATGGGAAAATCCCATAGGAGGAAAATTCCACTTAGGGTTAGGGTTAGGTCAACATGAACTCATAGAGCAAAATGGACATTCCCAACAAATTCGGAGTACTTGCGTATGGTTAAGAGGGCACTGACTTTTCTAGCCTGCCCTATCTATGTTTCCTGGTAAAATACATAGGAAAATCCCATAGGAGGAAAATTCCACTTAGGGTTAGGGTTAGGTCAACATGAACTCATAGAGCAAAATGGACGTCGCCAACAAATTCGGAGTGTTTGGGTATGGTTAGGAGGGCACTGACTTTTCTAGCCTGCCCTATCTATGTTTCCTGGTAAAATACATGGGAAAATCCCATAGGAGGAAAATTCCACTTAGGGTTAGGGTTAGGTCAACATGAACTCATAGAGCAAAATGGACATTCCCAACAAATTCGGAGTGCTTGCGTATGGTTAGGAGGGCACTGACTTTTCTAGCCTGCCCTATCTATGTTTCCTGGTAAAATACATGGGAAAATCCCATAGAAGGAAAATTCCACTTAGGGTTAGGGTTAGGTCACCATGAACTCATAGAGAAAAATGGACATTGCCAACAAACCCAGAACACTTGGGTATGGTTAGGAGGGCACTGACTTTTCTAGCCAGCCGTATTTATATTTCCTGGTAAAATACATGGGAAAATCCCATAGGAGGAAAATTCCACTTAGGGTTAGGGTTAGGTCACCATGAACTCATAGAGCAAAATGGACATCGCCAGCAAACTTGGAATGCTTGGCTATGGTTAGGAGGGCACTTACTTTTCTAGGCTTCCCAATCTATATTTCCTGGTAAAATACATGGGAAAATCCCATAGGAGGAAAATTCCACTTAGGGCTAGGGCAGTGGTGGCGAACCTATGGCACGCATACCAGAGGCAGCATTCAGAACCCTCTCTATGGGCACGCGTGCCATTGACCCAGCAGAGTTCACCAGAGTAGCGGGCACATGGCGTTTAGAAACGACAGGGCAGGAAGTTAGCAAGCAAGCAGCGGTGGCCTCCCAGGAATTCCCTTGAGATGGCAAGGGACTGGCCCTGGCCATGCTCACCCAGTCTGCTGTGACCAGTGCCGCTATGCCCACCCAGTGGGCGATGCCCCCCACATCCCCCCTGAGGGCACCACAGTGCTGATGCAGCCCTGGCACTTTGAGATAAATAAGTGGGTTTGGGGTTGCAGTTTGGGCACTTGGTCTCTAAAAGGTTCACCATCACTGTTCTAGAGTCAACATCTTTTTTTATCTCATGACGACCAAAACTGGATGCAATATTACCAAGGCATTATAAAACAGTACTAAAACTCCACACGATCTTCATCCTTGCCTTTGTGGCCAAAACCTGTGAATAGCTGCAGTTTGCTATTTACTGAGAGGATGAGCCTGACCTCCTAGCTTAAGACCTTATGCTTCAGCCCAGTTTAGCTGAACTGGCTTCTCCGGGAGGATCTGGGAGAAAAGCTGTCCCACAGCACAATCCAGCAGGACCATATCTTAATCAAGCGTTGTTGTGCATAAACGCAAGGGGGTACTTTTGTGTACTCCCTACTCACTTTATCCAAATATATAAAAGGAAATTTTTTGCTGTCCCCATAAAAGTTAAATACTAACAAGCATTTCTTACTGCTGCCACCAAAAACTACATCTGAAAAAAGAGCCCTTAGAAAGAACGATTACGTTCTTGACAGGCCGAAGTGTCTTGATCATCGATCCTGAGTGAAATAAAAGAAATTTCTTTGTTCTTTAATAAGCCTCCTCTCTGCTAGAATACTTTAAAGAAAAAGTACTTTGCCAAATGAAATGTACGCTGATCTTGTCATCTCTTGCAACTAGCTGTTTTGTGAACATGAAACAGAGGCAGGCTGTCAATGACTTCAAAACAGTCATTCCTTATGCAGATGGCTTTTGGAAATGAAAGCCAATTAATTGCCCCATTAGATGACAGCATCAACTCAAGCCATTGTTGGAGGGCACTTGCAGAATCGGCTCCAAGTGAGAGTAGCTGAGGAAATAAATGACCATAAAGCAAGGACGGGAAATTTGCCCTACAAACTGAGTTTAGACATCAGACGTATAATAATGAGAGGGAATGCAATCTTGCACTGAAAGTAGAATGTGAAAATTATTCTGACTCTTCATGATAAACTGTAGAGGGTTTTTTTAAATACAGAACTCCACATTGGTACTTCACTGCTCAGCAACAACACAAGAGATCCTCCTAGGTAATAGAGAAGGGGACTGTGTGCAACTGTACGGAAGCCCTTCTTGATGCCAGAGACCATTGTGGCTCTGCTTAGGGGCAAAGGTTCTCTCCTTCTTGGCAAAATACACCAGAGAGCCCCTGCCCCTCTCATTTCCAGGGTTTCTGCTCCATTTGTTCCTTTCCTTTCCCTTGGCTAAAGGCCCCGCTTTTATCTTTGCCAGGCTCAGCCCACCTCTTGTCCTTCCCTTACATTATGAGAACCATCGTGCCTCATTTTCCAGCCAGGGACTGAGCACAAAAAACACGTAATTAGCTCAGATTATTTGCATTAACAAATAATATTGCAAGAAGGAACATTCTTACGATAATTTAGGAAAGTCTACACAGCACTTATAATTTTTATCCCGTGTTACTTGCAACTCCCTAGTGTTCCCATTTTACAGACCTTAAACTGAGACAGAAAGTCGGTGACTTATTTACAATAATATTTATATATCTCCTGCCTTTATTATTTATAGCAGCAGACATATCTCTATTCCTTTCTCCTCCTATTTTCTCCACAACAACAACCCTGTGAGATGGGTTGGGCTGAGAGAGAGGAGTCACTCAGCCAGCTTTCCTGCCTAAGGTGGGACTAGAACTCAAAGCCTCCTGGCTTCTAGCCTGGCACCTTCACCACCAGACCAAACCTGCTTAGATTTCCCTGCTGAATCTATAACTGGACCAACGTTTGAGAACCTTCCATGTTGCACCTGTCCACCTGGGTGCCTGATAACTCAGGCTGCGACCCAACACAAGCGGTTTGGCTCAATCACACTTGGAGAAATTCCCCTAAAACGCAACACCGTGCGCACAATGGGTGACAGATAGATGTACACTGCAGTGCATGCAAAATGTTCTTAGGGCACGTAAAGAAATCCATACCAAAGTAGGTTGACTAACAGGCAAAATTAGTGCTGGATTCACCGAAAACCTTGCTGAAAACTACTCAACTAAATCCCTCCCAAGTACGTATTCCCACCTCCCCCCCCGTTTGTTTCTATTAATTACTATGCAAAAATCACTTCTGGGGCTGTGCCTTAATCTCGCTCCCCCACTCTTACCTATGGCTTGGAAGGGAGTCTGTGATGGCCACACTGCTGTTGTTAGCAGACCCGGCTCGCGTATTTACCTGCGGGGGAGAAAAGAATCTTTATCCGTAGTTTTTATTCAGAGGACGTGGTTCTAATTAACCTGTAATTTGCCATGAATTTCCTATTTCACTAGGAAGGTTAATTAGCTAGTTGCCAATGGTAGAAATCCAGCCTGTATGTAGGTTACCACATTGTGCTATTGAGGAATCATGTTCTTTTATTCACTCTGCATTGAAATGCTTGGTTAGGTAATGCAATCAGGAGCTGGCACACAATACGGTTTTCATTCCGTCTCTATTAAATACATCTCTTCCTTCCCTCCCCAGCCCATCACCTTTTTGCACGAATATATCAATTACCTCTCTCTAATGTCACTGAAAAGATGGAGGCATATCCTGCATGCCGTATGGAATTCCTAATTCAACACATTAACGGCAATTACACTGGCCATATAAGGGTCGATCGAAGGAAAGGTAACCCCAATCTTAAAGCTGCTCTTACGCATGTAGACATCTCAATTCATGCCACCTTTTGTCTTTGTTTAGGGGTAGTTGGGATGGTCCAAGAGGACCATTCCTGCAGATCTTCTGCAAGAGGACAGCAGGACAAGCTATTGCCCCCACATCTTCAAGGCTGACCTAAGAAACGGATTCACAAAACCCAGGAAGGAAACAGTGCCTTTCAAGATGCAAGGTAAACCAGCTGAGCTCACACCCACGGAGGATCTGTCCTCTGCTGCAGTTTGCAAAAAAAAAAAAAAAAACCTGCTTGTCAAGGCTGAGAAAATACAGTTTTATCTGACATTTCAATAAGTGGAACACAGCATTGCAAATCTATCTACGTTTACGGAAACAATTATTGAAATTCCTACCTTCAGGCCATGTATGTTCCTTTTCCCAGGAGGCTTGCAAGCTGAAACAGTAATTGACTAAATTGTAGAATACATCAGCACCATTTACAAATTTGTTCAAAATGAAATATTTTCTTTTTGTAATGAGAGCGATACAAAAATTAGCGGAGAGAAATGATCAAAAGGCATCTCCCAGGACTCTAAGCAGAGATGATAAAATGGGATCTCTGGACCTGTAGGAGCACATTTTCTTAAACAAACAAATCAGAGCTTCAAGTGATTTATATCTTAAAATGAAAGCCATAAAGAGAATCTCCTGCTCTAACTTTCAGTAACTGCACTATGTATGCAGCGCGTACGTGTGTGTGTGTTTCTTTTGCCCCCTTCTTTTTACACCATTTCATCTTCACATGTTTTTTAGTGGCACTGTACAGGGGTGGGCAGGTTAACACATCAGCTGGAGGCTGGGTGTTTTAATATAGGATGGCCATGTGCTCAGCACCCGAAAGAACAATGGCCTGCATTCTGTGTTACCACACAGTCTTCTCTGCTTTTCATGTGGGAAAAGAGAAGCTGGACATTAAAAGCAGCACGGAGGACATCAGGATCAGATACGGTACAAATTAAGATGCTCTTCCTAGCTATGTGCACAGATCTATTGTCAGGCTGTCCTCACAGGCTTCACGATGAGCTGGAGCAAAAGGAAGAATTGCATTTCCTTAACGCCCCCGGAATTTCACTGCCCCTTTCCAACCCGAAGCAGTGCTCTGGCAAATGTTAAAGCCACAAAGGCTTGGAGCTGTGTTTTACGGACAGTTCCCATTTAAAACTACAGCGCCCTACAAATAGTATGTTAAAGGGCCTGTCAGTTTTGATTGATTGTCTGGGAAAGGATGGATTTGATTTCCCCTCTTTCTCTCCCCCTTCTTCTGAAATACATGCATTTCACTCATGGTTATGACAGTAGGAAACAGAGCTATTTATTAGTCAAGAGGACACAGATGATAGTTATTAAACACAGCAGTTAGGACAGGCCCTATGCAATTTAAACTACATTAAACGTTGCTAGCATATCCTTAAATAGGAGATGCTGGGTTGCTAATATGTGGACAGAAGGAATGAAATATAGAAATATCATCCAATGGAAAAAAAATAAAAACAAGATATCCCTAGGCAGTGCAATGGCTCAGGGGTTGAGATCTGGGCTTGTGAGGGGCTCCATGTGAGGGGGTGAGCTCCCGTCCTCATCCCAGCTCCTGCCAACCTAGCAGTTCAAAAGCATGCAAATGCAAATAGATAAATAGTTAACACTTCCGTGGGAAGGTAACTGCACTCTGTGACATCATGCTGGCCACGTGACTTTTAAATGTGCAGACTTCAACTCTCAGAATTTCCCAGCCAGCCTTGCCTGTTGGCATCCACACATCTTGAAGTGGCTGAGGAACATTGATCTGTGCAACTGCTCACATATATTTAGCTTTGCCTCAATAATCCCTGCAAATGTTTATATATTTACTTACTTATCTATAAAATTTATCAGCTGCCCACCTTGCCATAAGGTAATCCTGGATGGCTTACAGAAATAAAATTCTGTTGCTAAGACAGACAGTTGTTAAGTGAGTTTTGCCCCATTTTGCGAACTTTCTTGCCACAGTTGTTAAGTGAATCTCTGCAGTTAACCTAGTTCACGTGGTTGTTGAGTGAATCTGGCTTCCCCGTTGACTTTGCTTGTCAGAAGGTGGCAAAAGGTGAATCACAACTGCAATAAATACACGTCAGTTGCCAAGTGTCTGAATTTTGATCATGTGACCAAGAGGATGCTGCAATGGTCAAGTGATTAGGCCAAACTGGCAACTTTTTGAGCAGATTGTGGGAATGCAATGGAGATAAAGTATCTTGTCTTCAGCAAAGCATTTGACAAAGTATCCCATAGCATGCCGATTAGCAAACCGATTAAATATGGCAGGACAACTGGGTAGACACGTAGCTGGCTTGAAAACCATCCTTATCCACGGTTCCCCCTGCAACTGGAGTCGGCATTGAATAGAGAACTGCAACACCCTCTATTCTTCAACTACTTTATTAATAGTTTGGATGAAGAATGGGAAGGATGTTTCTCATCTGTTTATAGGTATCACAAAACTGGGTGGGATAGTCTTAGGTTTCTATTTTTTAATGTTTTATATTTCAGTTTTTATGATGTTGCAAGCCTCCCGGTCGCTTGACAGTGAGGTGGGCTGAATATAAAGTCAGCCAATCAATCAAACATTTCTACCCTAAAAGGCAGAAATAAAGATAAATGCAAACTTTGCTTAAGAAACATAAATTGAACATCAAGATGTAGGTTGGGAATATTTGGATTAACAATCGCAAAGGTGAAAAAGATCTTGAAGGTGCAGCTGGCTGCAAGGTGAGGCAGAGTCAGCAGAGGGATAAGGATGGCAGGAAGGGAAACTGTAATCTGAGGCTGCATCAGGAGAAGGAGAGTCCCAAGGCTTGGAAAGTAACATGTCCATGGAGATCCTCAGTCACCCCAAAGGTGCTTTTTCAAAAGGCCCCTGGACTTCCTTGGTTCTTCCCTGAAGACCTTCCACTTCTCGTCCAAGAGCACAGATAAACCTTCAAACGGCCTGAATGACTCTCACAAAGAGGGCCAACGACCAGATGACTGCAAGGAGTATAAAGCCTCCCAGTCTCCACCATTCAGTTACAACTGAAGAAGCTTCTTGGATGAGAAGCGAAATGTCTTCAAGGAAAAACAAAGACAGTCCAGTTGCCTCTTGAAAAAGCAGCTTTGGGGTGGAAAGTAATAGTGTCAGATTCCGTTCAGCGGAAAACTGGTCCAGTTCCCAGAAGGGCAAAGAGAATGACCAAGGGCCTGGAAGTTCAGGGACTAAGGGAAGTGTTCAGAGGAAGAGAAGTGGGGACATGGTACATCGGTCTATAATGGCTGAAACGTATTCTTTACAGTCCAGAGGGCAAGACATGAACTAGAAGGTTCATCTTATAGGAAGGCAGATCCTAACAGACTTTTCAGAAAACCTTCCTAACAGAGAGAGCAGTATGAAGGTGCCCTCCCCCCCCCAAAAAAAGGCAAAAGGTAACTGCACTTTACTGGGGATGTTCGGATGTCTAGAGGGTCCAGAGCGTTTGACTCGGCCGTCTCAGTAATCTGTCCAAATCTGTGCTTAAAAAAAAGATTGGGGCAGTCTGAGGAAACAGGGAAGTGGGGGGAATTGTCAGCAGATCTGATGTACAAAGGAATCAGCATTAGATATACATGTGAGCAAGAAATGTTTGTATGCAAGAGGGAAATTGACTTATTTCTGTTCTAAATGCATCCTTTTTCACAAAGGAGAATTCCATCTTCAAACTGCTGCCCTCTTTCTAACCCTGATCAGCTTTGCTAGGAAACCTGTCGGTTAATTGCCCAATTCAAAATGGAGAGTAATGAAAAGTCTATAATGTTTTAATTGGAAAGCTTGCAACATGATTATTTATGTAGGGGAATAGTTTAGTTTTGAGGTATTTCAATTGATTTATTGCATGGAAATCTACTTGCATTTAATTTCAATCATCAAAAATATGCTTCTGAAAAAAAATCTAAGTGCATGGAGAAAGTTACATAACATGCACACGTAAGTGTGGGAAAAATGATATTATCTCCAGGTTTTACAACATTCCCATTTTTGCAATAGTGGATTGCAAAAACACGCCCCCCTCCCCCCGACTACAGTTTGGAGACTATTTGTGGCTTGGAGGAGGCCTGTGCATGCAGCCACACTGAACTTTTAAACTTCCATATGTTGTGCCGTGCAAACTATAATTTGTTATCCTGGTTTGCTTTGGAAAAACAACTGCAGCTAAACTCAAAGAATAGATTTCTCAACCCGAACTTAAGACCAAACTGTAGAATTATCTGTCTTTGAACCTCTAGAAAACAGAAGACCTGAAGGAACATTGGTAGGTGTTAGAAGCCATGCAAAATTACCTCTTGGGTAGATCTGCAGGGGCACGATCAGTTGTCCATTTCCCTGCTGCTCCATTACAGTTGTGTAGTACTGAAAAAAATAGATAAGAATGGCAAGCAAGTTTGTGTATTTTGTTCAATTCACCCATTCCAGAATAGTTATATTAGAGGCAACCAATCATATGCTTGAAAAAGTGGCTGTTAAACATCTATCTGCTGTTGAACGTTCTCAGATCTCCCTCACACCATATATCACAACGTTCACTTCCCTTCCTCTGTATTTATTTGCCTTCAAAAGTTACCAGTATGGTGACTTGGCCCCAAAATAGCAAACTCTGGACTCCAGGTAGTTCTCTTCCGTGGTTGCTGCAGCTGTCAAATATCTCTGCTCAGCCAGGCATTAACAGCCTGCAGTTCCTCCAATCCAAACACTACTCAGGTATCTGGCTTCCCTCTGCCCAGTCCAAGGCAGGGAGATATTTGTTCTGAGTTACACTGATTGACTTTGGTTACAGAAACAAAAGCTTTCCACTCAATAAAGAGCACCGAAATTAGATTCAGACCGTCAGTCATAGGATGATGTGCCCTTTAGATGAATCCTTCCATATCCCAGCAGAAATTTAGGAGTACAGATCCTATAATCTTTGACCTTTGGCCATGCTTAAAAAATCAATAGCAGTTCCTTCTGAAAGTCTACCGTTAGTCAGGATTCCAGAAGGAGAAATAGACTGGATATTTCCAGAAGCTGCACATCATGCATGTTCCTTTCATGTTAGCATGGGTGAAGATGTGAATCTCAAATCACTATGATGAGATATTAATTTTATACCAATACAATTATACCACAAAATAGGCCATAGTTCTAGGTCACCCATGGAGAACCTCACTGATAGTTAGCGGTGAAAGACAGATTGGAACATCCTGCTAGAAAATATTGTGGACTTCTAGTAGTTTACTGGAAGACTGTACTGCAGACCTTTTGCACGGACCCTAGAGATGAAGCCAAGCTGATTGCAAAACTTCTCAATGGAATATCTGTCTAGCCAAAACATGTGACTGTCCTTATTGTTGTTAAAGTTTAACATGGCTGGCTGGGGAATTCTGGGAGTTGAAGTCCACAAATCTTAAAGTTGCCACAGTTGGACATCCCTGATCTAAAGACAACAGAATGCAGAACTAAATGAACTTTCAGCTTGATCTTGGAAGACAATCCTTCCTTCTAAATAAGGCGAGAAGCTGTGCTTTGACCCAGCTAGTCCTCTCTATCTATCTGCAGGGCTCTGCTTGTTCTCTTGTGCTCTAGCATCAGCCTGGAGGCACAACAGGAAACTACCAAGTGTTGAAAACATGACAGCAAAGCCGTGCTCCAAAGCAGAGTCTCAGCTGCAGAAGCAGATTCTTATACGACTCTGACTCATTTTCCTGGGATTGACTCCAGAGAGGCTCTGAGTAGATTTTGCTCTTTGTTTCTTTAAAAATAATAATAATAATAAAAAAAGAATGGCCTCTCCATTACTCAAACAGAGATGACAAGTAAATGAAATATCAATCATGTCAGCTGTCAACCTTTTGGGACAGCAATAACTGTTAACAAGTAGTCTGGAAAAATGGTCCAAAAATGATTTGTCCTCTACATCTCAGCACTTGGGGTTGCCATGGAAAGTTAAGATGCCAGGGGCTATTTGGAACACTCTTCAGGTATTCTTTTTAATGGAAAATTTGCCAGTTATTGATCCAAAACATGTCCCCTTTGCTTCCAGATGGCTGCAAGCAACTTTCCAATCAGTGGCTGTCAAAAAAATTACTGCCTTTCTTTACCTATAGAAGACAACAACTGTAGACTAGCTCTGGTGTCACTTAATGGCTCTTTTTTAATTAACAAAGAGAAAGCCAGGGAAGCCATTTGGATTATATTTCTATGAATAAAACGTGCAATTAATAAACCTCAGTGTCCATCTCACCCAGTTAAGTGTTTAGTCATGGTGCTGATGGGAAAGTTTAGAAGTAACTCAAGGGAGAGAAGGTTTCAGTGAAAATAATAATCTCTGATGACAGAGGGATTCGAGAATGACAACCTATCACTCATTTTTCAATTAAAAACTGACCTTCAATTTCATCTTTATAGCAATTTGCATCAATGATAACACAGCAACATTCTAGGAATTATTTCATTCAGGTCTGAAAACTCTTAAGAAAAGATGTATTTCTTTCTATTTCAGATTACAGCTTCTGAAAATGCGTTCTGGTTTCATGCCATCTGTAACTGGTCTTACAGGAGAACCAAGAGCCAGTCTGTGGTCTGGCGGTTGAGGCACCAGGCTAGGAAGCAGGAGATCATGAGTTACATCTTCCGAAGCAGTCACTAAGAGAAAGCAGTGGCTGTTAAACAAACCCTTTGACCGCAATGAGTGCTATGGCCAGAAATCAAAAGATTTCCAGCAAAAAAATATCGTTAAGTTGTGGTCATGTGACCTCAAGACACTGCAAATGGCTGTTAACGTGAGCCAGCAGCCAAGTGCCCAAACTGCAAGTCACGTGACAAATCCATGTTTCAAGTACCTTTTGGAGGGTCTGTCATAAGTTTGAACAGTCACTAAGCAGCTGATCGTAAGTCAAGGACAACCCATAGTTCCAAAGCAAAACTAAGAAAAAACCTGATACAAATTAAAACTGAATAAATTAAATATCCTCCTTCATTAAATATTTTTCCAACAATGGTCAGTTGGATGCTTTGAAGAGCTCCTAAAGAAAAACATGAAGACCTCAGAAATGTAGAGGCGGTGCAGAGACGCCAAACTGTAAAGTGTATCTCACAAATGAAAATATTCTCTTGTAGATCCTATCCATGCACCTCTCCACACACCCACACCGAGAAAGAAACGCCATCAACCTTATCTTGCTGTTGTGGGGCATCTAAACAATTATAAAGATACCGTTTGAAATACTTCTGACATTTCATCTCATGAAAAAGAGAAGATTTTATTTCTGAGTATGCATCATTCTGGATATGTTTCTTTTTTCTAAACATTTAAACATTTCCAAATACTATAAAATGGTTATAGTAAGTGTTATACAGTAAAACTACCACACTACTTCTTAATTAAAAGAGAATAACTGCGGCAAGAAAGACCCAGGTATCACTTGTCTGAAATCAGTCCCCAAAATACAGGCAGTCCTCGACTTACAACAATTCATTTAGTGACTGTTCAAAGTTACAATAGCACTAAAAAAAGTGACTTATGACCACTTTTCACACTTCCGACCATTGCAGCACCTCCGGGATCAGGTGGTCAAAATTTGGGCACCTGGCAACAGGCTCATATTCCTGACGGTTGTAGAGTCCCCGGGGTTGTGCGATCATCTTTTGAGACCTTCTGACAAGCAAGGTTAATGGGGAAGCCAGATTCACTTAACAACCATGTTACTAAGTTAACGACTGCAGTAATTCACTTAACAACTGAGGCAAGATAGGTTTTAAAATGGGGCAAAATTTACTTAACAAATATGTCACTTAGCAACAGAAATCTGGAGCTCCATTGTGATGGTAAGCCGAGACCGCCTGCACACGTGTTTAGACTGGAATAGGAAGGCAAGGGGTGGAGAAGATCAACAATAATCCTCGATCAAAAAGGAACAGGATTTGAAAGGGCTTCTTCTCTTTGGGCTGTGCAGCCCTTTGGGAAGCACCTGAGACAACATAAGCTGGCCCTGTTTCAGACGCTCTCTGGGGCCAGTTCTTGAGGCTTCTGAGCCCTCTCCAAGTCCATTAAAGCGAACGGAGCTTTGCACGCCAGCTAGGATTAACTGAAACATCGAAGTTACATTGGGTGGCATTCCAACACATTCCTTCCATTGGTAAAATGGGCTTGTTTAAATGGGGCTGCTCAAATGAAAAAAAGCATCCATCTGAAGGGCCAATTCCCACGCCACCTTCAAAATTACTCCCTTTGTCTCAATAGTAGCATTTCCCAACCTAAGGAACTTTAAGATTTGTAGACTTCAACTCCCAGGATTCTCCAATCAGCTATGTTGGCTGGGGACTCTTGGGAACTGAAGTCCACAAATCTTAAAGTTGCCCATGTTGGAAACTCTGCTCGATAGTATCTTGCCAAAAGAAGTATACAGTCCAGGGAGTGCACAGAAAGGAAAGATCTGGGTGGAGCTGGGGTTGAACCCAGGGAACTGAGAGTTTTAGTTTGCCAAGTTTTCCTACTGTATTTATATCTGTGGAAAGTTTCCTTAGGAGATGTCCTTTACTGCAGGGGTCTCCAATTCCCAGTACCGGTTTGTGGACTGTGAGGAGCCGAGCCACACAGCTGGAGGTGAGTGGCAGGCGAGCGAGTGAAACCGAAACCCCTCCCCCCAGGTCCGTGGAAAAATTGTCTTCCATGGAACTGGTCAAATGATGCCAAACAGATTGGGGGCCACCGCTCTACTGAAACAAGGAAGCGTTGTGGCACTTAAGCTGTGTGCAAGATGTTGGGCCACAAGGTAGAGTGAAATAGGTCTCCTTGAAGGATTCGGTCAATCCATACCTCAATTCAGAAGGACCAAAAGAGGAGACTCCTATCGCTGTGCTTTATAGGGAGTCCTCACTTAATGACCAGTGGCTTGGCAAATGTTCAGAGTTACAATGGACCCCTCCCCCAAAATGTACATATGACATGGATTTGAAGTTCTGGCATCCAGCCACATTGGTCACATGATTGCACTTTAGGAGCTCAGCAACCAGTCCACATTTAAAGCTGTTCAGTCTCCCAAGATCACACAACCACAATTTATGATGGGTTTTTGCCAGAAACTGGCATTTCTTTCCAGTTTCAGGCAAAAAAGTGCCCATTGCAAACAACAGCTTTGCTTAACAACTGTGTTGATCGTTTAATGACTGCCACAAAAATGTCATAAAATCCGGTCAGTCATATGGTGACCCGCTTTATGACTGACTTGACCTGTAATTCCGGGCCCAATTAGGTTGTAAGTCAAGTCTACCTATAATTGAAAAGAAACGAGAATATCTAAATATCCTACCTATTTATAAAGCATAAAGGGCAGGCCGTTTATAAAGATATACATAAGCACTGGAGCCTTCCTATTTTTACTGTCATTATTAAAAGACAACGCACTTTAAAATCTTCTCAGCATGCCTGGCCTGCAGCAAAAAATATAACTCTTCTGAGAGAAGGGGTGAACGGGATCCAGATGAAAGCAGATTTTGTTTTTAATTTTTTTTAAAGAGCTGAAGGGTTCATTTTTAATGAGCCGTTACTTTAAGTAATGCATAAAAAAATAGAAGAAATTGATAGTCCATTTAGCCTGCACTATATCTAATGCAAAAATCTTTGGGATATGTTATTCTTAATGTTCACTACAAGATCTGTAAGTATATTATTCGCTGGTTTTCCAACAAAAAGAATACTTCCAACATTTCGTACAAAATCCCAGCCCCAACCTGTTCAAGCAAGATGATAAAAATATCAAAACAAAAATACACAACAACAACAAAAAAAACAAATTCTAATGTTTGTGTCTTAATCTGCTGCTATCACTAAGCATAAGTTCTATGGGAGGGTGTGAAGTGGGGAAGCAACAGCAAACTAGGACACTCCAGGATTCTGCCTAGTTGCCCTGGCTGCACGCTCCTGCGGCTGTCTCAGTCTGCCATGGCCAACTCACTGTGGGAAATTCAACAATTCTATTTAATTATTTTAAAAATATTTAAAACATTATTTAAATTTTTGTCATTCCTATTTCATTCTGTCCCTCCTTCAGCACCCTTTCTTCAATGATCCTACTCCACCATTTCTTGACATTAGTGTAAGCCTTGTCCCGCGGGAGGCTGTCCCGGGGTCAGACATGCTGGGGTGAGCTGGCTCTGGTGAGCTGTCCTAGACTCTCCTCACTCAACTCCGCATTTTGAGTGATGCTGGCTAGCAGTCAGTAACTTAGTTAATCCACTTTATTGAATATATACCTACATAGGACAACATAGCTTTCATTTCTTCATCGCTGCGAACAGTAATCCGATCGCCATCCTCATCTTCATCTGTATAAAATAAAAGTCTGCATATTAAAATTTACCGGGTTTAAAAGATGATCACATATTCGATAGACGTGGAGGAACTTTTAAAACGTGAACCAAAGAACAGGAACACACACTGGTTTTGTCTTAATTTCAAGTCAGGGCGACTAGTTGGGCCGATGTGAAAGAGAGAGAACAAAGCATGCAAATGGGTCTAGCGTGGCTTCAGATCCTCTCCATGGACTCAACTCTGGGGCCAGGTCACGCTACAGAAATCATCTGATGATATAATGGGAAGGGGCTTCACAACTGCTGCACAAGCTGCACTGGGTGCCAGGTTGCTTCTGGATCCAATTCAAAGCATTGGTTATCACCTTTAAAGCCCTACATGGCCTGGGGCCGGTTACCTGTGGAACTGTGTCCTGTCCCAGTGGGTCATGCAGGGAAGGTATGTTGCAGACCCCATCAATTTTGACTGGCAGGTCCAAGAAGAGAACCTCCTCTGCCACTGCCCCCCTGCCCCCGGGGAACACTGTCCTCCCGGGGCGAGGTGGGCCCCTAATCTCCTGGTCCAGTTTCCTAGCCTGAAGATCTGGCTCTGCCATCTCACTTGGGGCCCACAGAGGAGCAGGCAACCATGGGCACTCTGAAGCCCTTCCTTTGCTTAAAATAATTTTTAATTATTTTATTCTTTTTAACTGCCTGTTATAATATTTATATATAGCTCTTATATTTTTACTTGTACACTGCCCAGAATCACCCTATGAGAGAGATGGGCAGTTTCTAAATGTGATAAACAAACAAACAAAGTAAGTTCAGGCTATAGCTCCCTCTTTCCCTGGTGCAGGCCTCTTGCTGATCTCCTTAGAGTTTATGTTACTCTCTAACGTCCACCCACGCAGAGGGTGGCACAGGGACACCAGCACCAGCACCAGCATGGCAGGTAGAAGATCTCCTGGGGCAGACTAAGTGAATTACTGAGTCTCAGTCCCATCACCATCTTCATCTCCCCAGGAGGAGCACTAGGCTTCTCACTTCATAAACAAATATAATTCTTGTTATCTCCAGTAGAAGTCATTAGAATAGTAACTGCTAAGAAAATTCTAAACACAATCTGACTCTAAATGAAAAAAAGCTAATAAAAAAACAGAATAATCAAGAGAATAGGAGGAATTTAAAACAGATACCTGGAAGGAGTATTTTGTAGTAAAAGGCCACAATTTGCAAAGCTCACAAATAAATGCCATTGAGAATGCACCTCATTACAGAAGATTAGCTCTAAAAGCTACACAACTTTGGAAATTCTCAGGTGAACTGAAGTGTCTTCTCTGTTCTTACACTGCGCACATTTGGGGACAAAGCGGAAAAGACACTGCAGCTCCCTAAAAGAGAGGAGCATCATCGGTTGTCTGGTGGGAGGGAAACAGGCTCTTTCAGGCACTGTATTTCTCTGACTAAGGAGAGAGGCTGCTCACCCGACCCACCGGGAGGAACACACGGAGCCCCGTTCAAGCGATTCTGCAGAACACAAAGGTTCAAAGGGGGCTTGGCGAGCCCCTCTCCTCACCTGGAGCACAAACAACACGATCTTCCAGTCCATTAAGGAAGCAAAAGTAGAACTAAACAAAGCCTAGATTTTGCTAGTGTCACCTCCTCCTCGCAAGGCACCAAATAGAAGGCAACAGATGGCAACCAAATATTCCACAGCAATTTTTGCAAAAGACACCGTGTGCCGGGCACGCACAAAACGGTTTGGGATAAAAGGACCATAACGAGCCATATGTCGTTAGTTGTTTTATTTGTAGCAACATGGCGTACAACAAGGTCCAATGGCAATGGAGAATACAGCCCCAGGTAGAGGCAGCCACAGAAGACACACCGGAGATAGCAATAACTAAGCAAACGGGAGAGGAAGCCGCTGTGGATAGCAATTAACTGCCTCCAAGAAAGCCATCAAGTAGCTGAGAAGATACTTAAGCCGAGGAAATTTCAGGCTTTCATTAGGGAGAAGATAACCTAGAAACCAACAGCATCAATACACATTAACATATTTTTGATGCACTTAAGTGGCAGGAGAAACAATGTCACGCTGATGCAAAATGACAAGCTAATTCAAGAACCGGAAAGCACAGCAGCCGGTGTTGAGAGAGAAGCCATGAAACCCACATTTCTTGAAGGAAGGTTCTGCCAAGGGCGTCCCTGGACTGGAATCAATGCTCATGGCTGGTGGGGAGAGGTCAGCTAAGACTCAAACGGCCATGGAGAAGATTTTGAGCCCAGCCACCTTGAACTCTATAACCCCAATTTGGGGAGGGGTGCCAAAATGGTCACATTATAGACAATATTTTTGTATGATGATGTCATAAAACAGTCTATCTAAAATCACAGGTGTATAAAACAATGTTTTATATAGCGTAGTTTTATATGGCGCTGAGTGCTGGCCCAGCACCAAATGCATTGAGGGCCTTTTACATGCCATGAAGGTGCATCTGCTCCTTTGGTCGTTAGCTGCTTCGCTTGACCATGTCAGCAATGACACAGTAGAGCAGCAACTGGGCATTGTGCCAATGCCGGAGAAAAGCCTACAGTATGGCAATGTCCTACAAGCAGTACCCCACACTGCATTGCCTGCCACTTTAACACAGATAGCAAGTGCCCAAGTGGATAGACAAAGCAAAGATGGCAAGACACAATAAATGCAGACATGAACATTGCCCAGTTGGATCCAGAGGCTGCATCTGATCATGCAAGATGGCGTTCGTTGATCCAAAAAGCACACCTTGCACCTGTGGGCGCTAGAAGATGATGACGAAGATTTTGTAAGAGCAGAGGGGAGGGGAGGGGAGGAGAAGAGAGGATTACGAAATAATAGAATGGAATGGGGATGGGGAATGGACTGGACTAGACTAGATGCTGGAAGAGACCTTGGAGGTCTTCTAGTCCAGCCTCTGCTCAAGTAGGAGACCCTATACCATTTCAGACAAGTAACTGTCTAGTCTCTTCTTAAAAACCGCCAGTGATGGAGCACCCACGATTTCTGAAGGCAAGCTGCTCCGTTGGTTAATTGTCCTCGCTGTCAGGAAGTTTCTCCTTAATTCCAGGTTGCTTCTCTCTTTGATCAGTTTCCAGCCATTGTTTCTTGTCCTGCCCTCTGGTGCTTTGGAGAATAATTTGACCCCCTCTTCTTTGTGGCAGCCCCTCAAATACTGGAATACTGCTATCATGTTTCCCTTATTTCTTCTTTTCTTTATACTAGCCAAACTCAATTCCTGCAGTCTTCCTTCATATGTTTTAGTCTCCAGGCCTTTGATATTCTTAGTTGCTCTTCTCTGAATTTTCTCCAAAGTTTCAATATCTTTTTTGTAGTGTGATAACCAAAATTGGTTGCAGTATTCCAGGTGTGGTCTTAGAATAGAACAGAATTCTTTATTGGTCAAGCATGATTGGACACCCAAGGAATTTGTCTCTGGTGCATGAGCTCTCAATGTACATACAAAATGATAGCTCACGCATCATAAATCACAGTTAAAATCATTAATCACAAGATAAAAACAACAAGGGATAAATCATAAGATACCAATAGAAGAAGATAGTAGGAAACATGAGAAGATAAGAAAGATGAGAAGATGAGAAGGATAATAGCAATATTATAGCCAGCATTGTTCCCGCATAATAAAAATGGAGAGGTCTGTCCTTAACGCTCCCAGTTGCTGAACTGCAGATATCTTCAAGGGCCTGGACACCAGGAAAGCCCAGGGTTAAACCTTCCAAGCCTTGAGCTGCCCTCCAACCTTCTGCCATGAAGACAGTGATGGGTTCCCCATCTCCAGAGACGGTAACACGTCCATAACCAATTTAGTGTCGTATACACAAAAGTCCGATTCCCTCAAAGGCCAGCTAGCTGATTTCTGCTTTTAATCCTACAAATCTGAAAATTAAAATCTCAGCACACAAAGCCTCCAGGTACTTTATATTTTTCATTTAATTTGAGCAATATAATTGCAGTGCGTCCAAAGAGCATAGTAAGGTCAGGATGGTAATTAAAGCTATATGGTAGAAATATGTGCTCTCAAGATGTGATTAAATAATAAAATATTACTTAGCTAAGGTTGATCATTAAACTTGCATTTGTGTATAAATATTTAACTGTAAGATATCTGAACATAAACAAGATGTAGTTGTCACTGTTTTAAATAAATGATGCAAATATAAACTGCCCCCCACCCGCCCATCTCTCTGGCAAGCAAAACTCACATTCAAAAGCTGTTGTCGTTGCATCAGGAAGAACCTGACTGATTACGTCCTGTAACATTAAAAATGAAGGCCGTTAGTTATATTCGTAATGGAACTTTTTACAGAATAATTAATATTCAGCTTTTCCTAGCATGTTAACTCCGGCTGCTGAAAGCAGAAGTGAAGCCACACATATTTCATACTTGGAAGAGACCCATGTGTAGGATTGAAAAATGCCTCTCTTTACCACCCAGAGTTGTTACTCGGCTGATGTAGAGCAGCAGCTCTCAGTGGGGTGTTTGCAAACTCAGTTTATTTGCCTATCATGCAGTTTCCCCCTGACGTAGGCGACTGCTGGCTATGAAAACTCCAGTCTTTTTCATTAACCTCTTGTCTCTAAAGCAGGCCTGGGGAACTATGGTCCTATTATGATTTGTGGACTTCAACTCCCAGAATTCCTAAGCCAGCCATACTAGCTCAGGAATTCTGGAGGTTGAAGTCCACAAAACAGAGTCACAGCTCCCCACTTCTGATCTAAAGTAAGAGGGAAAAAAGGAAAACTCTGTGGTCTTTTCTATTCATTGGGCTCTACCTCTCCAATAGCACTTTCTGCTCCAGTATTCCTCAACCTCAGTAACTTTAAGACGGGTGGACCTCGGAATTCTGGAGGCTGAGGTCCATACATCTTAAAGTTGCTGAGGCTGAGTGCTCTACTACTCCAATGTCCATTGCTCTTCTGCATTTAGTCAAGTTTGCAGATGCCAAATGCTTTCCAGAAATGGGGCACCCTTTGAAAAACCATCCCACCAACCAAGAGTCGCTTTATCAGTGAGATGGGCAGCATACAGATTTAATACATACATCCATATATGCACACGTGCATAATCTAACAATACTCCAAAACAATATTAAAGGTCCGGCACAGGTAGTCCTTGACTTATAACCATTCATTTAGAGACTGTTCAAAGATACAAGGTCATTGAAAAACTCCTTGCACTTATGACCACTGCAGCATCCTCATGGTTACCATGATCAAAACATGTGTGTGTGTGTGTGTATGTGTGTGTGTGTGTCTATATTTGCAGCACCCTGGGTCACCCGATCGCCATCTGTGATTGTCCCAACTAGCTTCCAACAAGCAAAGTCAATGGGGGAAGCTGGATTCGCTAAACAACCATGTGATTCCCTTAACAACTGCAATGATCCGCTTAACAACCATGATCCGTTATAAAGTCAGACATGACTCACTTAACCCATTTCCTCAGCAATGGAAATTCTAGGTCCAACTGTGGTTGTAAGTTGAGGACTACCTGTGTTGTCAATCTGAAGTTAATTTCAATGAGGAAATGAGCTGGGAATGGTTTTAATGAATAACCCAATATGGCTGTAAGGATCTACTTCAAAACCTCATCCCAAGAAAGCAGAATTCTTGGAACAGATTCATCCCATTAGGAGAAGCTGACAGCAGGCACAGAAGGCAGGATCTGAGGGTTTCCCGCGAGAATCAATAGGTTAAAGGAGCAGCTAGCAAACCCCAAGTAACAACATAATATAATTTCAGAACTAATACATATATGTATATTCTTCCCTTTCTTTCATTCAGTGTTACCCTAATTGTAGAAAAAAAAACCCATCTGCCTGACCAGCGGTCAATGACTTTAAATGATCCCTTCCAAGACCTCTGCAGGGCTCTGACATCTATTACTGAGAACCCAGGCTTGGGAGTGACGTGCACAGTCAATGTTGTGCACATGTCAAGGCTGCCTTGAAAAAGTGGCAGAAGAGAAAGGAACATAAATGGGACAAAAACCTGAAAGCCGATTAAAGCAGATTGACGTTCAACCCCTGAAAGAGCCAAATCTTCTGCTCACTCCTCTGAACCCACCACTAAATGCAGCCCCGAATGCATTAGAAGTCCTGTGGTTTAATGCTAATGACCCTGAGGGAATCTGCCCATCCCACCAGACTGCACAGGGCAGGCGTTCTCCAGGTCCCCTCCCTGGAATTTGGACATCAGTGAGACCTCAGAAGGGACCCTTTTCTATGGCTGCTCTTGCCCCACAGAACAGAGACCTTTCTGGCTTTGCTGACCGGCGGGGGGGGGGGGGAGGTGAAGAGGGAAGGGTTCCACAAGAGCAGTGGGCAAGAGCATGCACATGCAGCTCCATTTGCAAATGGTGTGTGTGCGCGCCCACGCTTGCCTGCTACTTGCGCAAATGGGGATGCACATACGCGTATGCTCCCCAGCCACTTCCACGGCCCAGTTGCAAAGGGCTCAAGGCCCAATAATGGGCCACGTCCCGGGGGTTGGGGACCCGAGCTGTAGAACACTTCCCCCCAAGGAAGGCTGTTGGAGCATCCTAGGAGATGACTGAGGCTCTTGGGGGCTTAGGGGGATCTTGGTTTAATTTTTCTTTTTACACCTTCGTTTCATTATTGCTGACAGGTGCCCAGAGTTAACCCTCATCCTAACCCTTACGATAGGTGGCTATATAAATCTTTTAAATAAGTAGCTATACATAAATAAAATTCAAGGCAGAGCCAGGCATGCGCAGGATATTATTATTGTCTGTTCACAAGGATGCAAGGTCACAGCCACAGGCCTGTAGCTGCTCTATTCACACGAACCTGGGATGTTACTGACACATGTGGGAATCCAAGCCAGGTGGGGCCTTTTGCAACTGACAGGTCAACATTCTGCAGATTTCCTAAGCGCCACCCGCTGCGCCTATAAACACTGGGAAGACTGGATGGCCACTGCTCTGAAATGATATAGGATGCAGCAGGGGGTTGGACTAGATAGCCTCCAAGTCTCTTCCAACTCTATTATTCTGTGTCCTATCGGTTCACGCCGTAATCTTTCCACTCGCGACGGGAGGGTAATCTGCGGGGGGGGGGGGAAGCATTTAACAATTCAAGGTCCAGCCCGGCGCCGGAGAACGACTCAGGTCCCGTTCCAGAAGGGAGGCGCTTCCAAGCAAGGCGAGGGCTTCGGGGCAGGTTGGGGGTCCCTTCCGGCAACCGGGCCCCCACAATCCGCGCAGGATCCCGCAGAGGCAGGCAGGTCTGGCCCCCAAGGCCGGAGGGCGACGCCAACCCACCGCGGGGCTCTCCGGCCGGGCCTCCGAGGGGGGCGCAGCCAGCCAGCCAGCCACCCCCACCCCAGGCCGAAACGCTGCTCGGGGACCCGGCCGGGAGGGAGGCCCCCGCGCGGCGCAGAGCAGACCCCCCGGACGCCCCGCACGACCCTCACCAGCACGTCGCGGAAGAGCAGCTGCGGCGCGGGGTGCACGGTCCAGTCCACGGCGCCGCCGCCGTCCGGGATGCGGATGCGGATGACCAGCGCGGGCCGGGCCGGCTCCATCCCGGGGTCGCCCAGGGCCAGCAGGAGCATCCCCGGGCGACGGCCGGCGCTCTCCGCGGGACTAGGCCGCGCCAGGCCGGAAGGGCTCGGGCCGCAGGACCCGCCCCCACACGCGGCCCCGCCCCTGCTGTCGCCCCGCCCCCTCCTTTCCTGCCTCGCTGGGGCGCGCCCGCCTGGCCAGTGGAACGCCGCGCCACCAGAACCGCAGAGACCCTTCCGCCTTCTTTCTCCTCCTCTCTCTCTCTCCCCCCCCCACGAATTTGCAATCCGAGTAATCCTCGGCTTACAACATTCCATTCAGTGACCGCTGGAAATTGCAATGGCACTGGAAATAGTGATTTAGGGCCGTTTTTTACACTTGCAACTGTTGCAGGTCCCCATGGTGGTCACATGATAAATGACTTGGTAACTGACTCCTATTTGTTAGGGTTGCAGTGTCCTGGGGGTCACTTGAGCCTCTTTTGCAACCTTCTAAGAAGCCAAGTCAATGGGGAGAGCCAGATTCACTTAACAACCGTGTTACCAACTTAACTGGTGATTCACTCAATAACTGCCAAGAAAGGTTGTAAAATGAAGCCAAACTCACTTAACAATAGAAATTTTGGGCTCAGAAATTTTACTGATTTTCTAATTTTACATTCTAAAAAAAAAAATTGGGGCTCAAATGTGGTCGTAAGTTGAGGACTAGCTGCATATAACATTGGATAAGATGTGTTGGTGCAAGGTGTGTGGGTGAGACAAAAATTGTGAATACTCCGAGAAGAATAATTACAGGGGTTGCTGGTTGCCCTCGTGGCTTGTCCTCTGGGGGTGCCATGGCACAAGAACAGCGTTTCCTAAACAACCATAAACAACACAAAAGAGTTTCTTTTCAGAAATGGGTAGCATATAAATTTAATAAACAGGTAAATAATGAGCATCATCTTAATTTAATTAATAAAATAAACATTTGGCCAAGAAGGATTCGGCGCTGGGAGAAGAGAAGTACGTCCATTTGAAAGCCAACCCAGAAAGTGAACTACAGGGCCATCTGGCTGGACCAGTTTTCTTACCCAATCTGTGGGATTCTGACTCCTCAGCGTTAGCCCAAGGCCCAGCTTGGCCCCAAGGCTTAGGAAGGCCTGGCCAGGATGGCAGGGCTTAGACGGTGCCCGTGCTGCCCCTCCCGCATTCTGAATCCTTCTCAAAAGGCAGATCTTGGCATGGGGCTGGGGCTGTCAATGCAAATGCCTTGGAACTGGCAATGCCTTCTCTGTCATCCATCCACCTTTAAGAGCCCTGGTGGTGTGTGGGGGGAGATAGAATGCAATATTTCAGGCTAATTTTTGCCGACTGCCAGTGGTTCGATTCTCACTCGCTCGAGGTTGACTATCTTCTGTATCAGAGGCCTCCAACATTTTGGGCACCAGGGACCGGTTCCATGGGGAAAGATTTTCCCACAGACCAGAGGGGGGCTGGTTTCGTGTGCTGCCTGCATCCAGTGGATGGGGCTTCACTTGTTTGTGTGGCCCGGTTGCTGGTCCACGGACCGGGGGTTGGGGACTCGTGTTCTATCTCTATCTACTATCCATGCATCCATCTCATTTAGAAAGTGCCTATCTCCTTCACAGTGAACCTGGGTATGTGTGTAAAAATAAGACATAAAAATATGAAAACTAAATACTATAATGCAAACATAGATTACAACACAAATATTTAAAATTAAAAATGGGGAGGGCCTTCAAGAGATTAACCAGCCCTATGGCTGCAAGCAACTCTGTTGAGGCCAAGCAGGTCTTCAGCTCTTTCCGGAAGGCCAGGAGACAGGCTGGAGGGCTGGGGGGGGGGGTTGTGTAGTCTGATGCAGCTGAAGGCTGTGGGTGGTGCTCCAGGCCAGCCAACATCATAACCAAACTTGTGATCTTGACATACAGGTAATCCTCGCCCTGTCCAAAATTTCCACTGCTAAGCAAGACAGTTGTTAAGGGACTTTTGTCCCATTCTACGACTTTTCTTGCCACAGTTGTTAAGTGAATATGTGGTGTAGTAACATGATTGTTAGGTGAATGGCTTCCCCAATTAACTTTGCTTGTCAGAGTCGCCAAAGATGATCACATGACCACGGGGCATGGCAACTGTTATAAAAACACACCAGTTGCCAAGCGTCCGGATTCTGATCATGTGACCATGGGGATGCTACAACGGTCATGTGAAAAGCAGTCATAAGTCATTTTTTGTAACTTGTAACTGTGGTCACTAAATATAATAATAACAATAATAATGAATGATTATAAGCTGAGGACCACCTTATACCCCACATCTATCATTTTTATTGAATGCACATCTCTGAGCTGCTTGAAAATTTCAAAACTTATTTGTGACCCGGTGGTGGGGATAACAAAGTTCGCACTTTGCTGGGCTCAAAACTGTAACTCTGGGAAAAGCAGTCTTCCTGCACCCCCTCCCCTCCCCTCCCCTCCCCTCCCCATTAACCCATCTGGCACATAAGCAAGAATTACATTTGACCATTTCCCCAAGTAGACAGTAACTACATTTCTCTTTAGTCCACCTAATAAGTTTTGTTTCCAAACAATTCTTGATCCTTTAGAGGAAATGGAAGGGCAATGGCAAATATATGGTAGGAGGGAAAGTATTAAATTGGGGGACCCAGCATTCTGATTACGTGCTAATCCAGAGTCAAGAATCCGTTTTCTCATGGATTTATAGGAGGAGACCCCTGTTAATATATGGTGCAAAAAATCAGGAGTGTACTATGCCTTTTCAGAATAATGAATGTTTTTAAAAGATGGATTAAAATGTTATTAAAAGCTGCAGCTCACTTCATCAGATGCACAGAGTGGCTGAATTGATCTAGGATTTAAACTGGGATGAGGTGTGGAAAATGGAGGGGAAGGTAGGGTCCTCATGCAGATGCAGCTTCCTTCCCCTCACCCCAATTTAAATTCTACATCAGTTCGTGTATCCAATGAAGTGAGCTGCTCACATCACAAAAGCATACGCCTTTCCATCAAAATTCATTAGTGGGGAAAGATGCTAGCGGATTCCTGATTCTATGTCACCCAAGAAAGGACCTCTGCAATTTCTTCAAAATTTCAGTTTGAAGCAAATTTGGTGACTCTAGTTGGGTTGTTTTCTTAACCTCAGCATGGGTTAAGCTTGCTGGCCGGGGAATTCCGGGATTTGAAGTCCATCTATTTGAAATTGACTGAGATTGAGAAACACCGAACTGCTGCAGCTTTTCAACCTTGGTGAGCTTCTACAAAAGAATATGCCAGCCCCGCAACATGTTATTGGGACAGGTTGCAATTATTTCTTTTCCCTCAAAAATCCAACATGTCAGGCTTGAAATCTCCTTCCCAATTCCCCAAAATGTTCCCCACCTGGGTACAGATTGCGCAAGCTTAACAACATTCCGCAACTTACCTCAGCCAGCTCGAGGGGCTTTGTAATAGTTTTTGCCGACCTATAAATTTTTGAGTAACAAAATTATTGTGATTTTTCTTACTAAATTATTCATATATTACAAAGCATGTAACAAGGGTCATGAATCAAAAGGCATATAATGGAGTCATTTCTTCAAAGAAAAACTCAAATAGATTTATGTATACAAGTTAACTAAGAGACCATGATTTTAATAGTGTTCATAATTCTACCTGCTCCTTCCCCAGCTTCGTACATTCTTTTCTTTAAAGTACTACACTTTTAAAATGAATTTTAAAATTTGAAGCTTTCCTTTTGGGAGACAATTCCTTTTCATCACATTTAGCAGTTGAGTCTAATTGGTAGTATTGCAATCACTGAAATAACAATTTTTTCACGAGGTAACCCAGAGCTCATAAACTGTGCTTAAACGGATGCTAATATCTTTAAGAGAAGTCCTGGCTAAGTGTTTTGTATCTCTGAAATAAAAGCAAGAAGACATTGCCCTCGTACATCGAGCTTTTTATTTACTTGTCTATTACAGACGACCAAAACTTCTCACGAGAACCTAGAATCCAAACGTTAATGTAAACAAAACAGTGAAATGCAAGCTGCCCATTATCCAGGATAATTTTTTTTCACTTAATATAAACCTTTGGGTAACAGCTTTTCACAAGGCTCCAGCCAATTCACAATAATGACAATATAGAAATGTTCATTTAGATTATTGGTGTGAGCCAGATTATATTGAGTTATCTACAGTATCTTCAGTCTTATTGTTCATGGAAATAAAACATTACAATATTAGGTTTCCAACTATTTCAAGCATGTTTTCATCATAAATGAGAGCTTTTTGAGATTTCTTCTCAAGAAATGAAATACCAAAATAGTACTTAAAAAGGCCACTCTGAAATCAAGAAAGAAACCATTAAGATTTATTTCCTTGCTATTAAGCCTGAAATGGCCATGTGCTTCATTTTACAACTCTACATCTTGGTTTCATTCGGCTCTCAAGTTTTAAAAGCTGACAAAAAGGAAAAGATTTCAGAAATGGCAGAGATACGTACTACTTCTGTCAAAGCCATCGGCTCCCTACAGATGTTGCAATTCCTCGAAATCTCAGACCCACCATTTGACCAGGACTTGAGAGTTGCAGTCCCCACACATATGGAGGAAGCTATGTAGAGAAAGCTAATGCTTTCCACCAAAGGCTCATTCTCTGTTTTCTGCATTTCTAACTTAAAATGTCCTGGCTGAAGTTTAGTTCTGGAATTAAAAGAAATGCCCAAGAGCCCCCATCCCCCAATCGATCTTTACACAAACATCAATGCCTGAGACTATTACATATTGGCATCTGTAAGCATTAATGCAAGCCTGACATTTCGATTAACACGTATACACAAAACATCCAACAAATTTCAGCTTTTTGGACTAGTAAACAATACTCCACGGATGAGGCTTCCGTTAATAATGTTTCTTATTGTTGGAAAATCTCTAGTGGACAAATTTGTCAAACACAAAAGGTCTAAAAGTGAAATATAGTAATTAAGACTCTCGCTTTATTGATTGGAGAGCTTAAGTAATTTTTCATTACTAACGTAAGATTTAATACATAAAAGTAGTTAAAGATTCTGTCTTGGCACTAGCTATTAGCATGTAATTGAACTAGTAAAAAAGATCAGTTTAACCTATGTTGATTACCACCTTACCTTTGAAAGGCAATTAAGGATCTCAATCATGGCAACAAGATTTGATTGTGTGGCCTTTATTGGACATCGATCTTTTAGGAAAGCGCAGTTACATTTTCCATTAATTTACAGTAGCAGTTTAACTCTGGTACCTTAGACCATTGACCCAGATAAGATGTCAGGCTAAGTACTCGTTTAGTTTAAGGTGCTCCCATCACGCATTCCTCTTTAAAAGGACACCGAAACGAGTCCGGTATCTTATCAAGCAGGCTTAGGCAAAGGTTTCAGTTACTGGCGTGTGTTTCATCAGGCTGAACTCCCTTATGTTCAGCATCTCACTCTCCTTTGCTGTGTTAAGCACTGCCCTTCTACCAAAAGAGAGAGATAATTAAAGCAGGGTAGAAACATCAAAACACAAAGCACAGCAACTATTGCATTTTAGCAGATCGCATTTCCTGGAAGGTCGTGTATTCCGGGCATCTTAAATGCATTTTGAAGAGGTATTAAAAATACCTGCCAAGGCGTTTTATTGCCAATGATGCTGGAGGACCAGGAAATGGTGGGGCGAGGTTTGACCAGACCAAAATCCAGAAATAATTAGCCATGTAGCATTTGTGTGTGCGTGGGGGGGGAATTTAAAGTCAAGAGTAAGGCCATTTCCAAGAATGGAGTGGGGAAATGGAACACCACCACCCCACTTATGAGGACATGGAACCAAAAGAAACTGCTGCAGGAACAGGTTCAAGTGGTATTTACATCATTTGGATACAATACCTTATTTTATACCACCGTAGATGTCAAAACAATCTTTTACATTTTCTTCTCTCCTGGCAAGTACATGCTGTATGTGTGAAGGCGGGATAAAGCAGCTTCGCATTTGTTTCTTGCAAAATTGCGTAGAAGACACATGTGGATTATTTTAGATTGTCATATTTGAGTTCACACAGTGTATCAAGCCATGAAGTGATTTGCTTGGCCTAAATGTGTTGTAGGAATTCTAGCTCAGTGACTTGTAATCACGGGGCAGACCAGAGTAGGGAGAACACAGACAATTGGGGTAGTTAAAAAGATCACAGATGAAACAAGACTAGAATTACCCAAATATTTTTATCACAGGGCCCAAATTGTTTTTATCCTTTACAACAGGAATGCAAGAACTGTATTTTTAACACAGACTGTTAAATTAAACCTTATTTAATTCTTAAAAGGTTGACATAGGCATAAGCCATTTGTATTTGAATAGAAGTATAGGATTTGTTTTTTTGGGGGGGGGGGAGTAGACAAAGAAACTTTACACATTGTGCTAACCCTAAATTTTGGAGTAACTCGACTTACCTAAATTAGCTAATCAGCTAGTTCTTAATGCTCGACTGCTGCTGAAGGGCTTCTACCAACAGTGGCAACTATCACTATGACTTAAGGGCAAACAGGAAATCCAATCTTGGTTTTCCAAACAAGTCAGGAATTGGAAGATAAGAACCAGGTTTCTGACTATGGATTGTGGTTTCTATGCCACAACAAATGCCACAATTATGTCCTGCAGGAGAGGCTGCCCCAGAACCAATCTGCCAGGCACCACCAGCTGCTGGAACCCAGGAGGGGACCCTTTTTTGCTGTTGCCTCTGCCCTTTGGATGATCAGATTGGCCCTGACTTTGCTGGTTTTTTGCAAGGTCTTTTTGCAAGAGGTGGTTTTGTCCCTGGGCTTGGAGATTTGGATGTGCAAGAGCTGATGTAATCTCTGTGTTAATTTGTGTGGGTTTTCTACCTCAGTTGTTGATTATATTTGTGCACTTTTTGGAATACTGTTGCTTTTGATTAGTTTTGATAATCATGAATTTCAGATGGTAGTCACATAAATTGAAATAATAAATATGTGCCTACAGTCTTTTCTTCACTCAGCAAAACCGTCCCAAGAGTTTTTTGAAGATACCAACCCAAATTCATTCCCAATAGAATTAATCTATCCTATTATCTATAGTGGGACATCTCGCAACTACTGAACAATACACCTTCTGTTTAAGTAGTCATACAAACAGCCCCTCGTGATTCTGATTACACCTGAACTCTGCCCTCAGCCATCTTTCAAGTTCACCCTTCACCAGGATCAACGCTTGAAGTACCGGAGATCCACTGATTTTCATGTAATAAAAGAAAATACCATATTTACCTAATTGTTGCACCATGGGAGCCACAGACACTGTCCAGGTCTACTGAATCTCCATGGAAAGATGCACAGCACCATATGGACAGGGAATTGGGTTCCCCCCACTTATCGGAAAACAAGTAAGCAAAGTCAGCACTCTCCATTATCAGAAATCAAATAAGCTGCAGCTAGTGAACAGGCCACTCCAAGGGGAAGCTTTATTTATTGCATGGTAATTAAAAAACATTTTATCAGTCTTGTGTTGACACCAAACCTTTAAAGAAGAGTATTGACAAAATCGGGAGCAATGAATGAGCAGTATTTGACTTTAACTTATGAGCTGCACTTATTTAATTTTGCTCATTACTGGGAACATAAGTTCCAGCCAATCTAGCAAAATGCTAATAGTCACTTTTATTATTAATGAAGCTTAATGTAACACACCAGCTACTCCACTGGGCGAACTATTTATTTAACTTGTATTAGGAATATCCTTTGGTATCAAATATACTGGAGTGTTTCCTTGATTACAGATTTAGAGCTGCAGTTAAAACAAATGTACTACTTGTCTTCCAAATGAAAGCAATTTATAATTCCATTCTGATGGATTTTAAGAAATATATTTACACAAAATCTAATAAGAGCCTTTTGAAAAATAAATTATATTTTATCTTATAGCAAACATCCCAGATGAAAATAACTAGCTGAAATAATTTAAAACGAACAAATGTTGTGCATATTTTAGATCTAATTTCATAACTACATTATTTCTACAACATTTTACCAGGAAAGTTGATTGAGTATAATTGAGTATAATTTTCTATATTAGGTACATGACAAAATCATATTTTGTGTTAATTACTTCTAAATCATATTGAGTCAAAGAGTGAAGCGCACACTTAACTCTCTTCCACTGAAAGCAACAGGATTGAATTGGTACTTAATTTCGGCCAGATCACAATCATTCTACCTGGCTGTAGGTACCAGACCAATCTCCATATTCAATCCTCTGAAATTTCAGAGGCATTTTTTTTCCTTCAAAACTCTGGATTTTAATAGAACTTCAATTTATCAGAGAGGACTCAGTCTCTGTTTTGAATATCGGTTATATATTTTAAAAGATTCATTATGAAACAAGGTATTGCTTTTAAATTGTACTGAAGTATTGGATAAGATTGCAAAAAAAAAATCAGTATTTTCATTAAGAGGCGAGGGTCAGCTTTGGATGAAAGGAGTTAATTCATGTAATTTCCCAGATATTTGTTTAGTTTTGCATTTGTGCATAATTCAACATGTATTTGATGTGTATTTCCTTTTACAGAGTCAAAAAAAAGTAAATATTTCAAATAGGGACACGTCTTGAAAAAAATACATATACTGTTTGAATAAGATTGTTGACACAGCAAAAAGGTTGGGAAAATATGCTTTTCTATACTAATTTAGCACAGTGTTTTTGAAACCGTGTTTTAGTACATGGCACCTTCATCTTCTTTATTCAGGAAGTAAATTGTAACTGGGCCACAGCATGTCTGAACAGTCTCTGTGACGCTGGCAAAGCACCAAGAGCTAATTCCATATAATAACGTTGGGATTCCTAGTGCAAAAAGAAACAGATTAAGAGTCACACAATTTAGAACAGCTTTACCAATAAACAGCAGGAAAAAGAAAAGAAAATAAGCATAAAGACCCTGGCTGGCTTCATCATCAATGTTAGGCTAACCTGTGGCTTGTTTGAAGCTAGGTGCTGGGTGTGAACCCAGCCAGCCTTTGTGTAGTCCACACAAGAGCTTGGAACAAGAGCTTGGAAAGAAAAGATCTCTGTTATGAGAAGGTGGTCCAAGCGACTGCTAGGAATGGCTCTTGGCTCCATTGTTGAGCATCACCTTGCAAAGAAAGGAATACAGAGAGGCCTCGACTTACAACAGTTCATTTAGTGACTGTTCAAAGTTACAATGGTACTGAAAAATGTGATTTATGACCATTTTTCAGACTTGCAACCTTTGCAGTATTCCCCATGGTCACGTGATCAACATTCAGATGCTTGGCAACTGACTCATATTTATGACAGTTGCCGTGTCCCGGAATCACGTGATAATCTTATGTGACTGGACGAGGGGGAGCCAGAGTCACTTACCAACTGGGTTACTAACTTATCAGCTGCAGTGATTTATTTAACAACGCTGGCAAGAAAGGTTGTAAAATGGAGCAACTTAACAAACGTCTCATTTAACAACAGAAATGTTGGGCTCAACTGTGGCGGAAGTCGAGGACTGCCTGAAGCCACTTAATGCTCAACTGGCTCCGGCAAGCGGCCTGCCAGGGCCTGCGGGAAGTTCGGTTTCCGGAATAGGTTGAACGGGGGAGGCTTCTTGGGGGGAAAAGGGGCGCCGGAGGCCCCCGAGGAACGTTCCCCCCTCCTTTCACCGGCCGGTCTCCTCGGTCCGTCAGCCGCGCCGGGCCCCGGCAGGCCGGCTCACAAACCCGGCTGGAAACCTCCCACGCAGCAGAAAGCGGACTCCGAGCAGCCGCGACTAGCGGACCTCCAGACGCCCCCTCCCCTCCCCCCCCTCCCTCCCTTCCCTGGCGACCGAGCGCCGCGGCCTCGCCCAGCGCGACAAGGAAGGCGGAGGCGGAACCGGGCAACGCTCGGAAGGCGAAGGGCGGCTGGAGGGGGCCCAAAAGCGGGTCCGAAGACGCCCGGGCCCGGCGTCACCTCCGCCCCGGCCGGCCTCGCGAGAGGCGCTCTCCCGCTCACCCAGGTTGAGCAGCTTGAGGGCAGCCAGGAGGGCGTCCTGCGCGGCCAGGTCGCGGCGGGGCCCGCGGGAGCAGTGGTACTTGACGAAGGGGAAGCAGCCGGTGCGCAGCACGTGGTAGTTGGCGCCTCGCACCGCCCAGTTGAAGCTGGAGAGGCCGAACTGGTCGTTGCGCACCGCGCTGTACTTGACGCAGAAGGAAGTCCAGGGCGGCAGCCGGCGCTGCAGCAGGTGGCCGGTCAGCACCTCCGAGGCGGCCGGACGCGGCGGCGCCCCCCACGGCCACAGCAGCCCCCGTAGCAGCGCCGCGTGCAGCCGGCCTAGCGTCCGCCCCGCCCCGCCAGCCAGACGCTCCATCAGCGGCCGCGCCTGCCCTGAACCGCTCCTCCCGCCCGCGCCTGCGTACGTACGTGCGTGCGCGCCCCTGGGCGGCGGGGGGGAGGCGCGTGCTGCCGCCGCCCGCCCCCTTGCGCGCGCCCGGCCGCAACCCCGCCGGTAGGGAGGCCCGGAGCGCTCCCCGCGCGAGACCTGCGGCGGGCGCGCGCGAAGAGCGAAGCGCGAGCCGTCCCCCGCCCCGCCCGATAATTGCGCGCCGCCTTCCCAACCTCCTCCGGTCTGCGGCCCGCGAGGCGGAGGGAGCGCCCCGGGATCCCCCGGGCGCCCCTCGCAGTTTCTGGGCTCGGCTTCCCTTTTGAGAAAGGCTGGAGCGGCCCGGGGAGCCCCGTGGGTGGGCTCCGAGGCGGGGCCAAGGGCGGCGGGGGCGTCTGGCTGCCCTCTGCCAGCCCCGGACCTTGCCGGGATCGGCGGTCGTGGGATGGGCGCAGGAAGGGGACTCGGTTGAGGAGCCGTGCTGAACTTCCCCCAGAAGGACTCGCCATGAGACGATTCCAGAGTTTAATTATTTGAAATAAAAAAATTATTTTAGTTTTTGTCATTCGTATTTCACTTTATCCCTCCTTTCTTTCATGATTCTATTCCACCCTTTCTTTGATATTGGTGCGACTCTTGTCTTGTGTGGAGGTGGCGGAGGTGATTGTCGCATTAGGCGGAGGGTGGCACGAGAGACCTGCAGCTGCTCTGCTCGGCTGGGAAAGGTCCCACCTGCAGCCCCTCCCTGGAGGATTCTGGGCACCACCACAAACCCAGAAGGACACTGATAGGCTGGAGGAGCTTCAGAGGAGGAGGACAAAGATGAGGCAGGACCCTGAGGATGTTCAATAACTAGATGTTCACTCTGGAGAACATCTCTAGCCACGTCCAGACTCAGGGAAGGGGATCAAGAATGATTGGCCACAGACAAGGGTCTGTGTTGCAGCTTTGCAAACAGAAGGAAAAAGCTGCTGACAGCAAGATTTGTGAAGTCGTTTAAGAGTCCATCTTCAGAGGTTTTCCACCCCTGGAGGGTTTTCAAAAGACACTGGACACCACCTCTTCTGGAGGGGTCAATGGTTTTCCTGTATATGGCAGGTTCCTGGATTACATCAGTGCTTTTCCAACTGATAATTTTAAGTTGTGTGGATTTCAGCTCCCAGCATGCTGACTGGGGAATTATGGGAGTTGAAATCCATACATTTGTCTAGTTTGTAAAACACTGGATTACATGGGTTTGTAACTGCTGACAAACTGAACTCAATATGTGATCCTCAACAGAATTACATCCATATGGAGTAAAGTAAGCAGTGGGGTACAAGGTTCTGTCCTAGACCCAGGACTCTTCAATATCTTCATAAACGATTTAGATCAGGGAGTAGAAGGGGATCTCAGCAAATCTGCAGATGACACTAAGCTGGCAGGAATAGCCAACAGCCCAGAAGATGAGCTCAGGAGCCAAAAGGATCTTGACAGACTTGAACAAAATGACTTGATGTGGAGAGGGCAGGAAAAACCAAAGGTACAAGTACAGATTAGGTGAAACCTGGTTCAAAAACAGTAACTGTGAGAGGGACCTTGGAGATGTGGACAAGCATTTAAATATGAGCCAATAGGGCAGCAGCAGCAGCAGCAGCAGCAGCAGCAGCCCAAAAAACCAATACAACCCTAGGCTGCATTAACGGAAGTATTAGTACTGCTTTACAAAGCCTTAGCATGATCACACTTGGAATACTGCTTCCAATTTTGGTCACCAAATATAAAAAAGATATTGAGACACTGGAAAGAGTACAGAGAAGAGCAACAAGAATGATGAGGGTGCTGGAGGCTAAAACATACAAGGAACGGTTGCAGGAATTGGGTATGTCTAGTCTAGTGAAAAGAAGGACTAGGAGACATGATAGCAGTATTCCAATATTTGAGAGGCTTCTACAAAAGCGAGGGGGTCAAACTATTTTCCAAAGCACCAAAAGGCAAAAACAATGGATGGAAACTAACCAAGAAGAGAAGCAACCTAGAACTAAGGAGAAAATTCCTAATGGTGAGAACAATCAACCAGTGGAACCGCTTGCCTTCATACGTTATGGTGCTCCTTCACTGGAGCCTTTCAAAAAGAGACTGGACAGCAACTTGTCAGAAATGGTATAGGGTCTCCTGTTTGAGCAGGTGGTTGGACTAGAAGACCTCCAAGATCCCTTCCAACTCTATTCTATGTTTTATGATTCTTGTGGTCCCTTCCAACTTCATGATTCTGTGGGGGAGAACTAGGTATGTTTTTAATGCTTATCCTTTTTCTCTGACACTCTTGATTTGTGGCAAAGATAATAATAATAATAATAGTAAAGTTGGAAGGGACCTTGGAGGTCATCTAGTCCAACCCCCTGCTCGGGCAGGAAACCCTACACCATTTCGGACAAATGGCTGTCCAGTCTCTTCTTAAAAACTTCCAGTGTTGGAGCATTTACTGCTTCTGGAGGCAAGCTGTTCCACTGATTAATTGTTCTCACTGTCAGGAAGTTTCTCCTTAGTTCTAGGTTGCTTCTCTCCTTGATTAGTTTCCACCCGTTGCTTCTTGTCCTGCCTTCAGGTGCTTTGGAAAATAGCTTAATTCCCTCTTCTTTATGGCAGCCCCTGAGATATTGGAATACTGCTATCATGTCCCCCCTTGTCCTTCTCTTCGTTAAACTAGACATACCCAATTCTAGCAACCGTTCCTTATATGTTTTAGCCTCCAGTCCCCTAATCATCTTTGTTGCTCTTCTCTGTACTCTTTCTAGAGTCTCAACATCTTTTTTACATCGTGGTGACCAAAACTGGATGCAGTATTCCAAGTGTGGCCTTACCAAGGCATTGAAGAGTGGTATTAATACTTCACGTGATCTTGATTCTATCCCTCTGTTAATGCAGCCTAGCACTGTGTTGGCCTTTTTGGCAGCTGCAGCACACTGCTGGCTCATATTTAGGTGATTGTCTACTAGGACTCCGAGGTCCCTCTCACAGTTACTACTATTGAGCATGGTGCCACCTATGCTGTACTTGTGCATTTGGTTTTTCTTGCCTAAATGTAGAACCTTGCTTTTTTCACCATTGAATTTCATTTTGTTAGTTAGTGCCCAGTGTTCAAGTCTGTCCAGATCCTTCTGTACCTGAAGCCTGTCTTCTGGAGTGTTGGCTATTCCTGCCAGCTTGGTGTCATCTGCAAATTTGATGAGTTCCCCATCTATCCCTTCATCCAAATCGTTGATGAAGATGTTGAAGAGTACTGGGCCCAGAACAGAGCCCTGGGGCACCCCACTACACACTTCCCTCATGACACCCTCCAAATGTTTGGTCCCCAACTTCCCATCAAGAAAGGAGAATATTTGTAGCTGTTGAAATGAGGGGTCCTCGGTGCTCTCTGACCTTGGTTGTTTCTTACAGATGTTTCACTACCCACACAAGATAACATCACCAGTGCTAGTTTCAGTACTGGTACAGAGGCAGGCAATCCTGGCTTTCTGAACAGACCTATATAGTCAAGAGAAAGCGGTTAAGTCAGCTTATTTCATAAATGACTACAGGAAGTCCTCGACTTACAACCATTCACTTAGTGATTGTTCAAACTGACAAGAGTGCTGGAAAAGGTGACACATGACTGGCATTCACACCTACGATCGTTGCAGCATCTCCACATTCGTGTGGTTAAAGTTCAGTACTTGACAACTGGCATGTATTTATATACCAAAATCTACCTATTTCTCCCTTCTTTGATACTGCCCAGATCCATGTGGACTGGACTCCATCTTACAGGTCAGCAATTTGTTTAAGGCCGTGTTTTTCAAACTTGGCAAATTCAAGATATGTGGAATTCTACTCCCAGAATTCCCCAGTTGGCCAAAACTGAAAAATACTGATTGGAGAAGAAACAAGGCAAATTATACTAACAAAATGAGAAAGACCCCCCTTTTTTAAAAAACAACAACAACTGTAATTAAGAATAAGCAGTAACTTCAGCAGGTTTGCTGATAATGCCCAAATGTTTAGAATGGGAATCTCAAAAATAGTCTCTGTTGTATTGACACAACACTTTTAGCTTGATTACCGAATTAAGCTGTTGCCTGAGTTTGCACAATTCCTAAGATCATAAATACTAAAGCACTTGGGCTCATAAACACACAAGACCTTTAAACAAAACTATCCAAGTTTAGTATATTGTGCAGGCACTAATTTAATTAACTTAGTTAAGCATGTCTGAATTCAGCCACTGTGAGGAACAGGTATCTCCAAACTTAATGTGTTTTAAATCTTGTTCAGCTTATGCTTATAGATGCAACAGAACATAGCAATAATTACTTCCAAGAAAATATGCTTACATATTTTTGTGAACAACTCCCATGAAACTATTTGTAATGTAATGTGATATAGAATATAAAATCCTCTTGTGATAGTTCCTATAATTTTCCTTCACTTCTTATGGGTTATTGGCATTGAAAATGGATTTGGATATAACTCCTTGAACCCAACCCCTTATTGTCATCCAATCAAATGCAAGAAACTGTCTCCTTCTTTTCCATGCAACAATAGAATTTTAGGCATACTCTTTTAAGGAAAAATGAATCAAGGTTAATGTATCCATATCTTAGAAATTAGAAGAGTCTCCTCACTTCCAAGACTGGGAAATCACTTTTCCCCCAATATAAATACATTACATTTTATTGGAGGAACAAATGCTCATGTAAATCACACAGAGGACATTTAATCTCATTTTAACAGTTTTAAAAATCTGGGTCACTACTGAGACCTATTTACAGTAGCTTCATTAAATGTGGTTTCCAAAAATCCAAAATACAATTGCAGATGTACAACTGTCAATGTGGAAGACAACAAAAGATGAAGAATTTGAAGATGCATGGTGAGAATCTCAAGGCACGAAGAATATATTTTAACCTTTAGGAAGACATAAAAATGTAAATCAATATTCAAGTATTTTTTTCAAGTATTTTTTCTTCCAAAAGAATTAATAACTTTCAATAATTAGTGTTAACTATGCCCTAAAAGAGAGAAGATGTAATTTCATGTTGAGGTTTCTTTGCAAGATCCAATCTTGATCGTTCCCCAGGACCAGCGGTTTTCTCTTTCAAGCTTCCAGACTGGTGCTGGAGCCCATCCGCAGGGACCTTCTCTCTAGCAGAGTGTGTGCGTTGGGTTGTTCTCTGTGTGGTATTTATATGGTGTCTGGTGAAGCCACACCCAATCAGACACCACATAAATATGACGCATGGAACAGCCCAAAGCGCACATTCTGGTGAGACAGAAGTTCCCTGAGGATGGGCTCCAGCATGAATCCTAAAACTCAGAAGACTAAACCTCTGGTCCCAGGGAATTGACCCCGACTGGATCCTGCAACATTATCCTGGGACACGTAGATTCACCTTTATTCATGAGGTTTGTTTATGTATTAATTTATGTATTAATGTATTAATTTATATATTAATATGCCTGGAATAGAGTTCTACCACCCTATATTAAATCTTAGGCATATAACCAAGAGGCTGTTATGGAGTGACCAATTTCATCCTATTACACATTTTTTCTCTTCCAAGGGGTATACCCAACTAAGTATGATTTTTAAAGCTTTAGGCTCAAGCTATCCTAAGGAAAAATGAATGTTTTTTTGCTCCGGACAAATGGTCACCTATTCAAGCAAAGTGCATGAAATGTGATTTGGGGAAAGAAAAATGCAAAAGACGCTATGAGTAGAAAAGGAAGGTTTACTCACTACTTTTTGGATGTTTTTGCTTTCAAGGCCTCCTTTTCCTCTTCAAATTTTAACTTGTTCTGTTCTGTAACCCCTAAGATCCTCTCAATATCTTGAATGGCTCCCTAGAAAGAGATGGAAATGCTGCAAATTAGGCCCAGAGATTTCCCCATCCAGCCTCCCACTTATGTTTGGGCTTCTGGGCTGACCACAATGGGCACTCACCTAAGGCTATGTTGATGGAAGATGCTAAGCTAAAGCCAAGGAAACTGCACCACATTTCACTCTGTGGGTGCACATAGCTGGCTAGAGAATTCTGGGAATTGAAGTCCACAAGTCTTAAAGTTGCCAAGTTTGGAGACCCCTGCTCATGACTTATGGTGTTATCCAAAGCTGAAACTATCATCATCTGAAATTTACAGCCAGGACTCGTAACTAATGGCAAAGTTTGGGCAGAAATCTTGGTTCTTAGAAACCCCAAATGGTGACTTCAACATTTTCCAGAATTTTTGCAAAAATTTAATATGTTGCCTGAATGGGCAAATAGGATCTTCTGATTTTTGGACTTGTTTCCATTTGGGAAGACTGGACTTCAACTTTCAGAATCCTACAGGCTGCCCAAAGAACTAAGTATATGCAAGAATGAGATCAGGCATGCACACAGGGATGTCACCCAGGGGTGGGGTGCTGTCAACAAAGGCCATTATGGAGGTCACATCCATATATCGTCTTTACTTTTTGACATCCCTTGTGGACACCTGTGTGTAGGTGCCTTCATGGTGCCTTCCCTGGGGTTGAGATGGACCATTGCTTTCCAGTTCATCACTCAGAATTGCTGCTGCCACTGGGTGTATTTCACTGGCAGCTTTTGCACATTTGGAATAGGAACCAAGCAGTAGCACACAAAATACAATTCTTAACATTGACCGTGGGCAGTACAGGTTGGAAATACAATTGAAGGTTGTGGGAACTGGATAGGTCTAGTCTAACAAAGAGAAGGACTAGGGGTGAAATTATAGTCTTTCAATATTTGAGGGGCTGTCATGGAGAAGAGGGGGTTGATCTATTCTCCAAAGCACCTGAAAGCTGGACAAGAAGTAACTGGTGAAAGATTATTAAAGAGAGATTCAAGCTAGAATTAAGGAGAAATATCCTGACAGTGAGAACAATTAACCAATGGAACGGCTTCCCTCCAGAACTTGTGGATGCTCCATTACTGGAGGTTTTAAAGAAGAGATTGAACAGCTATTTGTCTGATATGGTACAGGGGGTTGGACTAGAAGACCTCCAAGGTCCCTTCCAACCCTATTATTCTATGTTCTATGTTAACTGGAGCTGAGCTACAACTGAGCTGGCCGTTCACAAAGCACCAGCACCCCAGAGATGCCAGAGACGGTAGTGCCCCCCAGAGGCACCCTAAGGGGTAAACACCTAAATCCAGTAGAGTCTTGCTTTGATACCCATAATATTAGGCAGAAAGTATACAAGTGCAAGCCCTGGGCTTACAACTATCACCTTTCTATAGCTTTTGGAACATAAACAGGCCTATTTATTTGCCTCCTTCTAATGGATGTGTTTTAATATTTCAAACATCTCAACCGTTTCATTTGACAAATCAATAGAAGTCTATGGGGAGAAGAGCATTTTTTTTGCCTCTCCAATTAGTAAATCCAAGAGCGGATGTATGCAAAATGAAAATCTAATTTCCTCAGGAGCTAGCCATTCACGCCAGAGAGAGTTGTGTTATGTATTTTTTTAAAAAGAAATATACCATTCGCTCTCAGCCCAAGTAAATCCATGCTCCCATATCAAAATTCTTAAATTTAACTAACAGATTCACTGGGAATCTCACAATATTGACCCCCAAGCTGTGAAATACGTACTGCTACAAGCAGAAGCGAGGATAGTTTAGCACTTGCTTGTACTGTAATACAGCATGGGATGTTTTCTGTCCTTGAACAGAAATTTAACTGGGATCGTTAGTTAATTAACACCTCACCTTAAAATTGGTCTCGGCATGCATATTAGGTGCTGATAATTCTTGATAGATGATGAAGAGATGCTGAGCAAAGGTCATGAGGACCCCCTGGAGATGTTCCCCAATTGTTCTGTTAATGATATCCAAAGAAACGTCTTTGCCAATGATTCTATTTGCAGGCTTAAAAACAATCGCCCTCTCATTTGGGCCTGTCAGATGGTGGAATTTAATGAATATTTTCAATCTCTTAAGGTGGCAATCTTCAGGGAGATACAAAAGACGAGGCTCCATTTTAACTTGTCAGTAAAAAGGATTTGTGTAATAAATATTTTTTATTAATCAAGTAATGGAGGAGGGCAAAGGCTTGAATCATTCGAAACACAAGAGTCCCATCTTTTCTAAAGCATCCCAAACATGTGAATAGGAACCGCTGGTGGTATGTAAACCCCAGGATTATTAATGGCAAAGCATCCTGTTGGAAACTTGGGTTTGCTCAGATCCACCCAAAAAACAGGAGTTCAACCATTTCAGTGAAGCTTGGGCTGTGGCTGCTCTTGAAGAACAGTTAGTAGGTAAAAATAATTATGGATATTTTTAATCTGGTTTTTCTGACACAATTCTGTGCTTTAAGGGTTTTTGAAGGAACCATTCTCTCCAGGCTTTAATCTTTCAGAATACTGGCACAGAGCAGGTAAAAGGAATTTTAAACTACAGGACTATCAAGGTCCAGCAACTCATTTCTCTCTCTTGGAAACTTACATCATTCCAAATGTGTTTCTTTTCTGGTCTTCAAACAAGATAAAAATGGTTCCTTCTTTTAGCTGTTGAGAGGGATAAGATGTTAAACTTCTTACTGTGTCTGGAAATTCTAAACATACAATTTCCCAAGATCAAATGCTAAGGCGCATTACATGGGATGATGTGATTTAAGAAGAAATGAATTTAAGAGCAAGCCAATTATTGTGTTCACTTCCAAGCTGATATAAAAAGGTGGTCAAGTATTCAGCAAGAGAAGCGTCTGGAAACAAACTATATTTGTAATTCCTTCCTCCTCTCCCCATCTCCCTCCGAGGCCTATCTGAACTCTATTAATAAAAGCACACAATCATAGATTTCATTGAAATTGATTATAGGGGCCAAAATATGGAGATTCTTTTCAGAAAAACAGTTAATGTGTGGTTCACTCATTTTATAGGTTTGCCCTCTATTTTTTCCCCATCCTATTTTCCTAGTGTTATTTCACTGAGATTAAAGCAGGCGTCCTTCTTACCCGCACATCATAGCCAATCCCGTGAGCCTTGCACATCTGGAGGAAAACATTGTAGTAAATGAAGGAAAGGCTGCCGTTCTTAATTGAGCTGCTCAGGAGAATGTGGCGGCTGACCAGGGACGTCTGGCAAAGGGGGAAAAAAGGAAAAGAGTGAATGCTGATGAATCCCTGATGGATTCCAGCTTCGAGGCAGTGCAGATTTATACCCAATCTTAAGCCCCCTGGCCTGTTTCCTCTGTCTTCTTCAAAGAAGCCACTCTCAGCCTTTGCAAGGAGTCAGTTGAATACAGATAAAGGGGGAGATTAGCGCTGTGACTTGAGACGGCTCCACCCTAAAGCAAGAGAAGGCTGGCTGCCATTCACTTGTCCCATGTTGAATTGCAGTGAGTTGTCAGGTGGTGAGTTAACTGGGGTGAGTCGGCTGCAGAGAATTGTCCTAAACTCCTGCACCAGCCCGAAACTGCTGAGAACTCCTTTGAGAATGCAGTAGTTCTCATACGTTTTTCTTGTGTCTCATAAACACACCGAAATGTTAAAATTGGTCTTAAGATTTTAGTCATACATGTGCTTCCTCACCATAAGCACTTCTACTTTTTCCTCCTCCTCTTTCCTTAAAAAATGGGCAGAGAGGGGTATTTTTCGGGCCCTAACAGTAACCCTGAGTGGGACAAGGGCAAATGTGGCCAGATTTTGTTATTTTTCTCTCCCAAGTATGGGAGGTTTTTAAAATAAATTCAAGCCTATTTTGGCCTGCAGCACAATTTTTATTCCAATCAGAAAATGGCAGGAAATTCTTGTGCCAACCTTGAGAGTTTTACTGCTGATCCAGAGGGCACCCCAAGTGCCATGAGAAAGGCACCGGGGGGCCATTGTCTGTCCACCGTTCTCCATCGACTGGCTAACACAACGTCAAGGAGGTTAATAATAGAATGTTTGCAAAACTGTGCTAAGCAAAATTGTGTCTGGTTGTTAGCAGAAATCAGTGGGGGGGGGGAGCCGAGGGGTTACAGCCATGCTAGCTGATGTCTGCCAAGTCATTTTGGTGGTAATCCAGTAAAGACCTGAATTTCAATGGGCACATGCAGGGTTCAAAATGTGCCATATGTAGAAAGGCAGTTTGGGAGGCTCCTTGGAACGAATGTGTCTCAAGCAGCTTTTGTTGATATTCCTTATTTCCCCTCATCCCAAATCTCTCATTCTCAAGTGTTATTTGAGGCATGAAACTGCTAACCAGAGGGGCGACTGCTTCTCTTCCTTGCACATCATGCTCACACGTGCACTATTACGAGACAAGCAAGCAGGCAAGGGGCTGTGGCTGGCTGCCTCTCCGAGGGCCCCCCTTCTCTCTGGGACCAGCTGGCTGAAAGAGAGGCTTCCAAAACAGGCACCCAAAGTTTTGAGAAATTTGTTCCTGGCAAAAGACGGCAGCAAATAAAATAAATGAATGCTTGATAAAATAATCCAAATCGCAGCTTAACAAGCGTAAACCCGGACATAGCAGCGATAACACCGAACTATTGTTTAAGCGGAGGCATCGGTCTGACGAGGCGCTTATTTCAGCTACAAAGCAGACAAACACATGCATAATGAACTGCTGGATGAATTATTAATGTCTTGCTTATTTAGCCTCATCTGTCTCAAAGATAATGTATCCTAAGTATAATGAGTGATTGGTTTTCTACATAATTACAGTAGCGGGTATCTAGGAAATTTGCTCTGGCAAAGGAGATTTCTAAAAATAAAAACCATCACTCGTACTCCGTCTCTGCTCCATTTTATCAAAATCAAAGCGAGCAGCCCGGTGAACACATAATAAATTCGCGGGGACAGAAGCATTATTAACATCATAATTTCACATAAAGTGTTTTTACTTAATCATTCATTATAGATCATCCACTGTAAAACAATTTGTCTCTGTTTGTTTCTTTTGGTTTTTTAAAAGATCTCATGTGCTGGTCCCCAGTTTTACCCCAAATGCTTGGCTGAATGAGGAAGAGGAAGAAGAGAAAGCAGTGATGTGCTGAGGGCTACTGGCAGGTCCAAAATGACAAAAAATCACAATAATCTGCAATTATTTTAATTTACAGAATTGCTGCTTGGTTACTTTCCATTTCTAAAACCTGGACCCGAACCAAAACTCCTCTTACCCCACGTAGTAGCTTGAGAAGGTCATCAATCTTGACATTTTGTAGCTTGGACACTTTGGAAAATGCACACAATCCAGCTATAAGGCAACTTTCCCATACAGGGGCGCCCCACACCCGTGCTAAAATGCCAGGTTTTTGAGATGTAAAAAAAACAGACCAAGATTTCCCCCCCCCCACACCTTTAATATAACATATAAGCAGTACAACTCAACTGAAAAACAAACTGAAATGTTTTAGGTGGGGGGAAATAACAATAAAAAAAACTTACAATAACATTGTTGCATGAAGATGCACATATTAAAACGTCCTGGAAATCAGGAGATCCAGGCAGTTCAAATGAGTATAAAGATTTATTGCCAGCTTAAGCTCTCTACAAGAATCTGAACTACTAACAGTCAAGGGAAATTTGTGGTAGTTAAGAATAGAAAGGAATTCCCTTGTGGGGGTAAAGGGACTCATGACCAATGACGCATTTGACCCCTCTCTGGGGCTCAGGCTGGTCATCTCTTACAGCTCACTCTTAAACTAATACTTTGTTGAAGGAACTTTTGATTTTTTGACAGCATCAAGTCTTGGGGTAGGAGCCTCTCAGCACGACACAACTTGCTTTGGGAATCTTTGCCCACTCTTCCTGGCACAAGTGCTCCAGATCTACCGGATTGCCTCTCCTGTGCACAGCCCTCTTCAGGTCATCCCACAGATTTTCAAGTGGATTCAGGTCCGGACTCTGGCCAGGCCATTCCAAAACTTTGATCTTCTTCTGGTCAAGACATTATTTTGAGGATTTGGACGTATAGTTTGTGTTGTCGTCATGTTGAAAGGTGTGTACTGACTACTATTTAACGTCAGTTTGCATGTGAATGGTTAATTCTGAACACAGCCACATTCCTAATTATAAGAGGGTGTAATAATATGCAGCCATATTATTTTAATTTTTTATTTTTATTTCCCCCCTAAAAGATTTCAGTTTGTTTTTCAATTGAATTGTACAGCTTGTATGTTATATTAAAAGTGAGAAAATATCAAAGTGATTTATTTTGGTCTGAGTTTTTTACATTTCAAAAACCTGGCATTTTAACAGGTGTGTGTAGAGTTTCTATATCCACTGTATCTGGTAACCTACAAATATGTTGACTACAAATCCCAGAATTCCAAGGAAGATGGGTTTCCATTGATCATACCATCTGGGAATTTTGAGAGCTGTACTCCAAAAATATGGAGCTTGGGGGGAGTTGGTTACAATGACATATACAGTTTTTATTACAAATAATAAAGTTAATAAAATTAATTATTACAGTTACTCATCAGTGGCAAGACTTCTACAGGACCAGCCCAAGAAAGTTTGCTACCTAAGCATAAAACCAGCAAAGACCGCCTCTTCTGCTAAGAACCAGAAGAAAGGACCCATCAAGTAATTATCTTCGGCCAGTTATGTTAAACCCAACACAAAACATCAGGCAGAGGGAAAGAACTGGTAATTTCCAAATGTAACTATAAGCAATTGATTAGTAAATTAAAATTTATTGTTCATAATGGGTGGGGAAATGATGGGGGCCACACTGCTCACATTGTCCCTAATGCAATGGGGTGATGATGCAGGAGGGGTCAGGGCAGCAGTGCATCAAACAATGGGGAACCAACACCGTTTAGGCCACAAACTGCTTATTTGTTCAGTCACTGGCCTATCTGTTTCTTCATTTGAAAGGAGCATCACTTACGGGTTGGGTCTGCTCCTTCTGCAGAGGCAGGTCAAGTGGTTTCTTTGGAGGAAGCTGCACCTGGAAGCGGCTGGAAGCACAGTTGAAGGTCCCCTCGGTTACGTAGAGCGCGACCTGGGTCATAGCCAAGTGATCACTATAGTGCAGATCCAAGTCTATTGCCCAAACCTTGGGAGAGAAATAGATCTGTCAAGTACAACTTTTCTTTTAGGCTTAGAAATAAACCTCTCGGCGTGAAAGTGAGATAGCCTTACTTTATATCTGGAGAGCACAAGAGGCACCAGCAGTGAACTTATTGTCTGAAAGGGCTCAGACATTTGTGAACCTGTCTTATGTTTTGTATCTGCCTACAATCTCAAATACAAAAATGCCTCCTCTTGGGTGAATGGAGTTGTGTTCTTTTTTAATATCTGAAATGTCAAAAAAGAACTCAATGAAAGCAACAAAACAGCAGGGTACCACCATTATAGGTAGTCCTCAACTTATGACCACAACTGAGCCCCAAATTTATGTTGCTAAGTGAGACAGATGTTAAGTGAGTTGTGCCCTTTTATGATCTTTCTTGCCACAGTTCTTAAGTGAATCCCTGCACTTGTTAAATTAGTAACATGTTTGTTATGCTTCCCCATTGACTTTACTTGTTGCAAAAGGGGATCACACGACACCAGGACACTGCAACCGTCATAAATATGAACCAGTTGCCAAGCGTCCAAATTTTGATCACATGACCGTGGGGATGCTGCCATGGTCATATGTCATTGTAACTTCAAACGGTCACAAGACTACCTGTATTGTCCCCTGCAGGTACTTTGAAAGGTGGGTATTATCAAATGCACATTGCCCATAACTAAATATGACTTGTTGAAGGGGGGGGGGTACAGGAAAGGTACATCGGTGCTTCGGAGGGCTGCAGTTTGGACGACACTAATCTTGCAGTAACGCGTAGCACTACCGAAGTTCAGCAGCTGTGAGATTCATGTCCCAGAAACACAAGCAAGATGAAGGTGAAGGTTCATTCTCCGAGTGTGTGGGCTGGTTTCGGAGAACGCGCCTTCACCCTCATCTTACACCCAAACTACAGATATTCACCGCTATTTCAAACGCAAGCAAGCGCCCATGCAAGAGCTTGCTGGACTTGCAGAAGCTATCTTCATCCATCCCCACAAGGCATCTATGGACAGTGGGGTGGGAGATAACAAGCAACTTCTAGATATCTAGATATGATCTATGACCTATTATTTCCTGTTTATATGTACAGGGTGAGCTTATGCACTGGAGACAAATTCCTTGTGTGTTCAATCACACTTGACCAATAAAGAATTCTATGATTCTATGGCTGACATCTGCAAGTTTAAGATGGTTTGGGGGTGAATATCTGAAGTTAAACTTGATAGAACGTTATCAGTGTGCTCAAAGAGGTAAGCACTAGTGTTGTAAACCAACAACAGTGCAAATGCTCAAGAAGGTTCCTATTTATGACCGCATCCATGGCCACCTTCATATTTTTTAATGTAACCATGACAAGCTGTACATCAAGTGACTGCAGCAAGTCATCTTCAGTTTCAGTTGTTCTATCTAAAACATATTTATAGTCACATATTTGAAAGCTAGCTCATCCCAGAGAGAGCTTAGGAAACAAGCCATATATCAAGTCTACAATTCAATAGGATTAGAAGCGGGCATAAAACAGACCAGAATTTTCAGGGGAAACCACTCGCTGCTCTGCAATAAATCACCACATGTGTCTCAATTGAAACAAAATGACTCCCCTGCCCTATTCTAGTAGGCTTGCTAAAACGAAGAAGAAGAGAAAGCTTGGAAAGTTAACTTTTTGTATTAAAGAAATATGAGGTTGTACACCTAAAGATGCCTGGGCTGCATCTGCAGGGAACCTGTTCATCAGCCTTGCTGACTGGGGAATTCTGGGAGTTGAAGTCCACACATCTTCTAGTTGCCGAAGTTGAGAGACACTGTTTTAAGGGAACCCATCCTTTCCAAAGATCTCTCCACAGCCTGGAAATGCAGACGTTTTGGTCAGGACAAAGATGGACCAGTTCCTAGGTTTCTAAACAAAAGTGCTCCAAAGAAATGGCAACTGAAACTACAGAGGAAATGTTCTTAAATAGTGCCTGGGATTTAGAACATGCCTGAATATTGCAGACCATGTAAGAAAATGTACAAATGCAGTGGTAGTATTGATATGGCTCCTCTATCCATGGCAATATACTCATGGTGTAAATAAGTAACTCTGTTTTCTGGGCTTACACGACACTGAATCATAAATTAAGCACCCTGCCTGTGTTTTCATGACCCCCAAGCTAACAAGTAGGTGGCCGTGGCTTGGGATGCCACTGAACAGAGACAGAGACAGAGAGACTGCCTTGCTTCAAGGCAAGGCAGTCAAAATTGCCAGCATTTGGAAATCGAGATGAAATTCAATAGGGAAACTGGAGGGGGAGAGGAGGAGGACGAGGAGGAGGAGGAGGGAGAGGAGGATTGGTCAACTCATTAAAAACAAAACAAAATCAGCTCATCAGTTCCATCTCCCCCCCAATCACTATCAGAACTGATGGAGCTTCTTGGATGAGAAGTGAAATATTTTCTTCTTCCTCGGGGGGGGGGGGGGAAGTCCAGTTTTGCCTTTCGAAGAAAAAAGCACCTTTGAGTAGTTATGGGACAGCAGCCTTTTCACTTCTGGAGAACTGAGCTTAGGCCGTGCATCTGGTCACAGGTTGATCACGCCCAGGAGCGTCTCCTGTGAATATCGGTCCTTTAGAAGCAACTCTCCCACAGAAGGACTTGGACAAGCCACTGAATGGTAAATGGCATCATTATAAGGGTATTAAGGGGTCAGACAGTCAAGGCCTCTTGCTAAACTGGAGCTAATTTCTGAATCATATTACAAAATAATGCCTCTTTTTATAACAGCAAATAAATCACATCCGAAACAGTTAATAATGAACCATCAAGTACCAGTTTTACTGTTGAATATCCTATTTGTCAACTTAAATATTTCTCGTTGCATAAGGAAAAGAAAGAGCTTTGGTCTTCTTTTGTAGGAGCCCTTGAAATATTGGAAGACTGCCATCATGTCACCCCAGTCCTTCTTTTCGTTAAACCAGACATACCAATTCCTGCAATTGTTCTTCATATGTTTTATCCTTCAGTTGCTCTTCTCTGCACTTTTTATTTTTATTCTGAAAAAGAGAACTTTCCCCTCTTCAAATTTCTGAAACCTCATGTTCATCCAATCCTATCCATTCTCTGGCAATGATCAAGTCTTCATGAAATATTAGTGCAGAGTAGATTCTTTGGAAAAAGCTCGTTTTTTCTTGAGGGAGGCGACGTTTTTTGCTTGTGGTCTTCTTCCAGTGATCAAAAGTCCAGGAGTTTAACTCTCATGTCTCAGCAGCTTCCGAGTTTTCCTGAAATGTTAGTGATTGCATTCTAGGCTCTCCTGGGATCTTGAATGAGATGTTGAAATCTTGGCCGACTTTCTATATGTTTGAAAGTTAGTGTTTGTTTGTTTTTAACATTTTCTACAATTGCATTATATTTCATGGACCTGGGTGTCCCTGGGCTTGGTGCTGCCAACTCAAGTTAGGCAGCATGAGATGTCAGCAGCTAAAGATACTTCCAAGGCTTTCAGCCTCACCTATCCAGGCTGCTGCTTGTACAACACAGAGAATTTAAATGTCAAATGCTGGTCACAGCAGCCTTACCATGACTGTTTTTAACCAAAGACCAAGTAGGACAGAGCAGCTTCTATTCTCTGGTGAGAAGGAATAATCCAGCTGTTGACACCTGGTGAAAAAACAAAGCTTCAGCCCAGCAGCTGGGACCCCGTTGTGAAAGACAGAAGCTCCTGACTCCCATGTGCAGGCATAAAAAGAAGATCTTGTAAAAGCTTTTGAGCCCCAGAGCCCCAAGCAAGGCTCTTGAACCAGAGTGTAGCCCTGTCTTATGCCCACTGGGACCTTTGTAAAATCAAACCCCTATCAATAAACAAATCCATTGTGGGCTCATAAATCCAAACTCATTTCCACTTCTTCCACACTTCTTTGGAGGGTTCAAAATTAGGGGAGCATGTGACATAAAGGGAGAAGCCCCTCTCAGCCTCTTGGTTAATGGAGATGTTTTTCGCCATGGGGGAAGGAATATCCAGTTTTGCTGTTGATACCCACAGAGTGTGAATTGATCTCAGTGTGCCTTAAGCAGAGAGCGTGTTGGCTGGAATCGTATTTCTCTCCCACCACTGAAGAGCCATAACTCTTTTCCTTAAGTCTCTGTGCTGGCATCCATCACCACCTGAATCACCTGCAGGCCCTAAGCCTACATTTGAAGTTCTTCCCCCCTCCCTTCTTCCGCCCCAATTTTCTCTCACCATCTCGCCCTCCGTCTTTCTTCCTTCCTATGCCAAAGGCCTGTCAACTCCCCACACTCACCTTAAACACTTTCTCCATGCCTGTTGTCAGCCCTCATCCATACTCTTTTTGCCCTTAACATCTTCTGAGATTCCCCCCCCCAACTTCTTAGTGGAGCTGACAACCTCTGATCATTTCCCCTCCAAGTATTAACCAGAGATAACCCTGCTCAGCATTTTAGATCAGCCTAGGTCAGGAGTAAGGGATCAAGGATGCAATTCTTGTATCACCAGTAGCCAATAAATCCTGCTGTCTCCATCCACCACTTGAGCTGTGTAGGCTGGGAAATCCCAGCCAGTGCGGTTCAGAAAGCCCCAATGGTGTGATTCTCCCATATCGCTCCACAGCAATCCGGGCGGATTCCCATTTGATGGCGATGGAATGCAAAACATGCATACAGATCTCACTATTATAGTTGGTTGCCCAGGCAGCCGGATGTTTAGACTGGATTTGGCATTCTTATCCATCTATTTGGTCCTCCCAAGGATCTGGGATGGGGAAATGTTGTTTCTGCATTATTAGTGCTTTGGTTGTAGTCAAGATCTGGGTTTGTATGTCTAAGCTGGCATCTTGTTCCTTTATGTTGCATCTTATTTTGTCACAAGCTGAGAGAATATTTTCGTGTATTGATTTCAACATGGAAAGGATTTTTTCCTGATCTTCATCCATATTCTCTTAATAGTGTATTAAGTTGAAGACCTTAGTATCAGACGTTAAAAATAATTCAAGCAGGCTAAATATGTT